AAAACCGTTACCCTCTGCCTCTGCTCACCTCTGCTTTTGAGTTGCTCCAGGGAGCCACTGTTTTTACCAAGTTGGATCTCAGAAACGCTTACCACCTAGTGCGGATCCGGGAGGGAGATGAATGGAAAACCGCATTCAATACACCAACAGGCCACTACGAGTATCTGGTTATGCCTTTTGGCCTCACCAATGCTCCTGCTGTGTTCCAGGCTCTAGTGAATGATGTACTGCGGGACATGTTAAACAAGTTTGTCTTCGTTTACCTGGATGACATCCTAATCTACTCCAGAAACCTGTCTGAACACACCCGCCATGTCCAGCAAGTCCTTCATCGTCTTCTGGAGAATTCCCTCTACGCCAAGGCAGAGAAATGTGAGTTTCACGTCAAGACAGTGGCCTTCCTGGGGTACATAGTGGCAGAGGGAAGTATCCAAATGGATCCTGCCAAAGTATCAGCAGTCACTTCATGGCCAGTTCCGGAGAACAGAAAGAAGCTGCAACAGTTTCTGGGGTTTGCTAACTTCTACAGAAAGTTTATCCGGAACTACAGTACCGTTGCTGCCCCTCTCACTGCTCTAACCAGCACCAAGCAACCCTTCACCTGGACCCCAGCAGCCGACAAAGCCTTCAGTACCCTCAAGGTGAGGTTCACCTCCGCTCCCATCCTCCAGATGCCTGATGTGGACCGGCAATTCATTGTGGAGGTGGACGCCTCGGATGTGGGAGTTGGTGCTGTGATTTCTCAGTGGGCTGCGGAGGATAGGAAGCTCCATCCCTGTGCCTTTTTCTCACGTCGGTTGTCCCCCTCTGAGTGCAATTACGACATAGGGAACCGTGAGCTGCTGGCTGTGAAGCTTGCCTTGGAGGAGTGGCGTCACTGGCTGGAGGGGTCCACCATTCCATTTCTCGTTTGGACCGATCATAAGAACTTGGAGTACATCCGCACGGCCAAACGGTTGAACTCCAGGCAGTCCCGCTGGGCCCTGTTCTTCACCAGGTTTAATTTCACTCTGTCATACCGGCCTGGATCACGCAACACCAAGCCAGACGCCCTCTCCCGTCAATTCCAGAAGGATGACACCCCCTCCAAGGACCCTGTGTCGATTCTGCCAAGTCCCTGCATCGTTGCAGCTCTGACCTGGGCTGTTGAGGAACAGGTGCTGGAGGCTCTCCGTAACCAGCCAGGTCCCAGCACTTGCCCAGCTGACCGCCTTTTTGTCCCCGAAGACCTGAGGTCCCAGGTCGTTCAGTGGGGACATGACTCCCGCCTAGCTTGTCACCCTGGCTCCACCCGCACTTACAACCTGCTCGCCCAGAGGTTCTGGTGGCCCTCTCTGAGAAGGGATGTACGGGAATTCGTCCAAGCCTGCCCCATCTGCAACCAACACAAGTCGTCCTGCCAGCCCCCAGCCGGATTGCTGCAGCCCCTGCCTGTGCCCAGACGTCCCTGGTCTCACATCGCCCTTGACTTTGTCACGGGGCTGCCCCCTTCAAGTGGCATGACCGTCATTCTCACCATTGTTGACCGTTTCAGCAAGATGGCACACTTCATTCCCCTCCCCAAGCTCCCAACCGCCAAGGAGACCGCCCAGGTGGTCCTGGAACACGTCTTCCGGATCCACGGACTGCCTAAGGATGTAGTTTCTGACCGTGGTCCACAATTCTCCTCCGCTTTTTGGAAGGAGTTCTGTCACCTGCTGGGAGCCACAGTCAGTCTGACTTCCGGATTCCATCCCCAATCCAATGGGCAGTCAGAGCGGGCTAATCAGGAGCTCGAGAAGGCACTGCGATGCATGACTTCACGCAACCCCCACTCCTGGTCGCAGCAATTGACATGGGTGGAGTACGCACACAATTCTCTGACCTGCTCTGCCATCGGTATGTCCCCTTTCCAATGTGTTTATGGATACCAGCCTCCTCTATTTGCCAGCCAGGAAGAGGAGGTTACTTGCCCATCTGCACTTGCTTTTGCCCGTCGATGTCGCCGCACCTGGTCACAAGCCCGAGCCACACTCCTCAGATCCGTTGCCAGCTACACTACCGGGGCCAACCGTCGGAGAATTCCTGCTCCCACCTACCATGTTGGTCAAAGGGTGTGGTTGTCATCGAAGAACCTGCCACTCAGGGTGGAGTCGCAGAAGCTGGCACCTCGGTTCATTGGCCCATTCCCTATCATAAGAGTGATTAGCCCAACTGCTGTCCGGCTCCAACTGCCTAATTCCCTGAGGGTGCACCCCACTTTCCATGTGTCTAAGATTAAGCCCATCCATGAGAGTCCGCTGGTCCCTGCGGCGCCTTGTCCTCCTCCTCCACGGCTCGTCGATGGTGGTCTGGTTTACACCGTCCGCCGCCTGCTTCGGTCCAGACGGAGGGGTAGGGGTCTCCAGTACCTCATTGACTGGGAGGGCTATGGACCTGAGGAAAGGACCTGGGTGCCAGCTAGTCGGATTGTGGATAGGACTCTCATCACCGCTTTCCACCAACGGCATCCTGATCAACCTGCAATCCGTAGGGGCCGCCCCAGAGGGGTCCCTAACCGTCCTGCCCGCTCGGCTTCCTGTCCTGTGCCTGATCCTGTCTCGGGACCTGTCCCATCTCCCGACCACGGCCCTCCGGCTTCCTCCGAGGATGAGGACGTTCACTCGGACCGTTCGGAGGAGTTCTAGCCCTCCTCCGGCTCCCCTCCTCCCGCCCGGCGTGGTGTTGCTCTTGGGACTTCTGGGGCCGTCCCTTGGGGGGGGGGGTTCTGTCATGAGCCTCTCACTCCACCGGGTTACCACCTTAATTTTCTTCCACTCTGCTCACCACTCTCTCTACTCAGCCTAACTAGCTCCACCTGTCCCTGCTCTGCTCTGCTCTAATTACTCTGCCAGCTGCGCTGCATTACCCACTACCTCTCCCAGTATTTAAGGCCCTGTCTTTCAGCTCTCCGGTGTCAGATCGTCTGCAAAGCTCACACCCGGAACCTGTTTGCTCGCGCTTCTGGCTCACCCTGGTTTTGTGACCCCGGACCTGCCTGTTTTTTGGATACTCTTCTGCCCCAGGAGATCCAGACCTGCTTCTGCCATACGACTCCTGACTACTCTTCAATCCCGGTAACTCTGACCAGCCTTCTGCCTTGCTACTACGTATTTGGATTTCCCTTGAACTGTACTGCTGCCTTGTTTCATTCCGCCCTGTTGTGTCTGTGTCTCCCCCCCCCAGGACTTCTGGACCACCCACCACCGGCTTCATAGGACGCATCGCTGCCACTGGGGGGGGCACAGACCCAGCACTTTGGACGGGATCCCTGTTACCCCTGGAGCCTTCATTCACTCCCTACTTCCCTTTTCCCTTAAGTTTTAATAAACTTTCTGGTGTGACGCAATTGTGGTCCTCTGGTCGTCTGTCTGAACCGTGACAGGTACGGGTAGCGGAAAATTCTGATTTGTTTATAATGTAGGAGGGGTCTAAATGGCTGAGGTCTCCAGCTACCTTGGAGAACCCAGCCTTTAAAAGGCCAAAGTATGCCATGTCCAGCGGCTCCAGGACATGGGTGCAGTGTGGTGAATGGCAAAGAACTATAACCCCTTCCCTTAGTGCTGTCGCTGTGGCTCTTGTGCCCATCGAAGAGGAGGAGAGGGCACTCCTTCACTGCATGTTTGATGAAGTGCTGAAACCACTTCCTGAACAGGTCCCCGTTGATGTAGCCACTATTTGACCATCCATACAAGGCTTGGGTGGGGCCTCCCAGTGTGTAGTGGCCGCCGAGGAGACACTTGGGGTAGATGATAAATGGGAGGACTTCCTCCCCAGCTGCGTTGAAGCAGACCAGCACTGTGATGTGCTCCTTGGTCCCCGGAGCCTGCTGGTACACGTGTTTTTCACCCTGGGGAGCCAGCACTTCATGCCTACTCTGGTCGCTACGAAACCCAGACTCATCACACTTATAGATTTGTCTGCGTTTCTCCCTCCTCCAAGTGCTTCTCATAAGAAGCGAAGAAGGTGTCCATCGTCGGCCAGGTGGCACACTCAGCTCTCCGCCTGTCCAGGGTGTCCAGCCTCCTCATGCTCAGGTTCTTGTGCCTCCCCCTGAACATTTCCCACGACCTCTTCCCCAGTGGTGGGATTGTCTCCCCTGGGTGCCGAAACCTAGAATATAATATAAATTGTCCATCCAGGATTAAATGTTTTATTTTGGCATCACCATTCACATATGGTGTATTCTACATACATAAACACATAGAACACCAAATACTTGCGTATTGTGTCGGCGTATTTCATCAGCCTCTGTCTGGTGAAGGGGAACCCATGGCTGGCGCAGTAGATACAGTACTGCACCAGATCATTTTCATCCTCTGGTGCAAGCAATGTCGGTGGTCCGCTGCGACAACCATGGGTCACCTGGCTGCTCAGCCCATCCGCCAGGGTCTGCCGAGGTACACCATGCACCTTGGTAGATAAGAAAATAAAACTGTTATTAGCAGATGAAATTCACATACACGTGGTAATCGTCTAAAAACCAAAGATGACTGACCTTGGCAGCCAGTCAGATAGCCATCCCTGCCCCACAATCCTTGGCATGGAACATGTCCAACTCACACTGATTCCTCTTGACTTTCTCCATGCTATGGTGGGAAATAGCTAAATAACTTGGCATACTATACACATTTTAGAAAGGTAACTCCATCTGAATATGTATAAACAATTACAATGCAAAGCTAACTAGGCATTGAAAGGTGAAGATGAAAGGTTTCAAAAGAAATCCATTCAGCGGTGGAGATGACAGAGAGGAAACTAGAAGAAGAGCTTTTGGAGGCATCAGAAAGGGATACCTTTCTACCCTGTCACAGCTGGTGAGCACTTGACTCAGGTTCAATACAAAGTTTAGTTTCACACAATATCTGTTACATTACCCACTTGGAAATGATAACTTTTCTCTCAGTGTATGATTAAAAACATTTATCCTTCATGGTTTTGTATTTTTACCCAGCATGCTCTCTTTGTCACTCTCGTTTTAGCTTAACAGGAAAAAGCCTCCAGACATTGACTGCTGTGACCTCTTGGGTAACACCCCACTGCACTGCTCTGCCTACTGTGGTCAGAAGCTATGTGCCCTGAAACTGCTAAAGAATGGTGCTAGACCCAACATCAAGAACAAGAATGGTAAAGATGGGCTCAGAGTCAGTGAATGACAGGGTGCGTATGAGATGGGTTGCTTAGAAGCTACACGCTGTTTGTTTTAACATCAGTGTTCTGGTGTAGTGTTCTGTATGATTCCTTTTCTCTGACTTGTGCACAGATCAGACTGTGTTTGACCTCGCCAACAACACAGAGATTAAGCAGATCCTGGAAGGCAATTTTCATAAAGTGAGTGCTAAAGTGATTTGTTATGTAAGAAAAGTATTGAAGTCTGACGACTGCACTGCAAGGATAAACCCTGAAGCATTGTACAGTGCATTGGAACATTATGTTGTTGCAGAAATGGTTGCTGTCTCCAAATGGTCTCTAAGGGTATGACTGGCCATGTCCAGATGTTTGAAGGAGCCCTTTGGAAGGTACAGTCATTTGCAGATGGTTCCACTATTTTCACTAAGGTCATAGTGTAAACAGTGAAAAGCTTATTATCACTTGATAACATTTGAATGTACATGAAACACAAACTCCTCCTGTCCAGACCCTTCTTTCAGAGTTCCCGCTTTTTAGGCTGGCATTCCTACTGGGTGATCCTTCAAGATGGAGTTCTGTCCTGGTACTCTAAACAGTAGGTGCTCTCTCTCTTTACTTCCTTAGACACAAATGTGGCCATTTTAACCTCTTCCTGAAGTTCTATGATTGGTAAAATAATTTGAACAGCAGATAAAGGACACCCTAGACCCCTCATACTCAATAGGCAGACTGCAGGCCAGATCCAGACCCAGAACGTGGTCAATACAGTCAATACAAATCGAAGGAATGTTACATTACTAGACCCCTGGTATCATATAAACACACATAAGACATGGCAAAATGTGTAGAATTGCAGAAAAAGAAAAAAAAACGGCAAAATGTTCTCTCCACCAACAAGAGGTGTATGAATAGTTTGGGGTCACATGGGTTGCGAGGTGGGGGTTTGTTACTACGCCGATAAATGACAATATCCATCCGGACCTTTGCCACCTAGGACATTTGTGTTACTGGACCTTCTCAAATAGTAATAGTATTTGAGAAGCCCTGCCCTAGACCCACACTAGATTCTTATATCTAGTGTGTCTCTCTCTCTCTGCCTCCTAAGGTTGGATGCAGCTGCCAATGTCTGAAGACAAGGTTGTAAGTCTCTAACCCAAGTCCACTGTTTGGTAGGCCATGATTGTTCTCTCATCAGATTTAACATGGGGACAGGATTTACTGGAATATTAGGGTAGAATATGAAGAATTCAGTGGAGGCTGCTGAGGGGAGGACGGCTCATTATAATGGCTGGAATGGAGTCAATGGAATGGTATCAAACACATCAAAGATGTGGTTTCCATGTGGTTGATACCACTCCATTGACTCCATTCCAGCCATTAGTATGAGCCATCCTGCCCTCAGCAGCCTCCGCTGGAGAAATTATGTTTTACTATTTTATTTTTCAGTCAGAGACAACTGCTTTTTCACCCTCAAGTGCTTCGATGACAGTGTGCATCATTTCAAAGTGCAGTGGTGGAAAAAGTGCCCAATTTTCCTACTTGCGTAAAAGTAAAGATACCTTAATAGAAAATGACTCAAGTAAAAGTGAAAGTCACCAAGTAAAATACTACTTGAGTAAAAGACTAAAAGTATTTGGTTTTAAATATACTTAAGTATCAAATGTAAATATAATTGCTAAAATATACTGAAGTATCAAAGCTTCTTGTTTTTATTTTGTTTACTGATAGCCAGGGGGTGCTTCAACCTCAGACATCATTTACAAATGAAGCATGGGTTTAGTGAGTCCGCCAGATCAGAGGCAGTAGGGATGACCAGGGATGTTCTCTTGATTAGACCATTTTCCTGTCCTGCTAAACATTCAAAATGTAATGAGAACTTTTGGGTGTCAGGTAAAATGTATGGAGTAAAAAGTACATAATTTTCTTTAGGAATGTAGTGGAGTAAAAGTAAAAGTAGTCAAAAATATAAATAGTAAAGTACAGATACCCCCAAAAACTACTTAAGTAGTACTTTCAAGTATTTTTACTTAAGTACTTTACACCACTGTCAAAGTGTCCCCCGAGAATGACCCTGAGGCAACAAGAAAAGTGAGATGTGGTTTGTTTTACTGAAGTATTATTGTATATCAACAATAGTGTTTTTCATTGCTTATGTTTTTTTCTATAGCTGTCATACCTACAAAAGCTAAGGAACATCCTTTTTTTGTTAGAAAAAAAAAAAATTTTTTCTGTTAGAAGAAAACACCGACCAGTTGATGAACATAGTCTACATTTGAACAAACCTACAAACTCTATTTCTAACACACACACACACAACAAACAACGCTATTCTCAACTTCTCATTTGCTTCCTGTCATGAGTCATGTGAGAGCCCAGTTATTAACCTAAGAGCAGAACATGAAGCAGCACAGTACAGTGCAGTACATCGTGCAGCTCAGAGAGCGTGTGTTCTTCAGAGGTGGCTGGATGCTGTGGAGGAATACTGTGCCTACAGCACACACTACCGCTCTCAGGTGCAGTGCAGCGAGGAGGACGAGGAAGAAGTCATGAGTGTGGGAGAGCTGACGGAATCACTACAGGTGACAAACCAGTCTACAACCTCTTTACCTTCATCTGGTATCGCTCCTCAACCCTCCCCATCCCCCTGAATGTTCTCCTTCTGCAATAGATTTGTGTATTCTCTCTTATTCTTTTACACGTAATGGGGAATTTTAATTTTTTCTCTCTCTCTCTCCCTCCCTCCCTCTCCCTCTTTTTCTCCCTCTCCCTCTCCCTCTCCCTCTCCCTCTCCCCCTCCCTCTCCCTCTCCCTCTCCCTCTCCCTCTCCCTCTCCCTCTCCCTCTCCCCCTCCCCCTCCCTCTCCCTCTCCCTCTCCCTCCTCCTCCCTGGCAGTCAGCTGAAGCTTGTCACCAGAAGCTGGAGAAGGAGGTTGCATAACTCCTCTCCTTGGTGAAGGAAGATGGACTTGCAGAGAGTAAAGCCTTTTCTTTCATAGGAACTCAATTTCCACAGATGTGTAGTACAATACCCTCATTCATAGTGTAAATGTTAAATGTATTTGCGCTTTTTAGTATATTCCACTTGACCCACACTGAGTGTACAAAACATTAGGAACACCTGCTCTTTCCATGACATAGACTGACCAGGTGAATCTAGGTGAAAGCTATGATCCCTTATTGATGTCACTTGTTAAATCCACTTCAATCAGTGTAGATGAAGGGGAAGAGGCAGGTTTAAAAAATGATTTTTAAGCCTTGAGATAATTGAGACATGGATTGTGTATGTGAGCCATTCAGAGGGTGAATAGGCAAGACAAAATATGTAAGTGTGTTTTTACGAGGTAATGGTAGTAGGTGCCAGCGCACCGGTTTGAGTGTGTAAAGAACCGCAACGCTGCTGGGTATTTCACGCTCAGCAGTTTCCCGTGTGTATCAAGAATGGTCCACCACCCAAAGGGCATCCAGCCAACTTGACACAACTGTGGGAAGCATTGGTGCCAACATGGGCCACCATCCCTGTGGAATGCTTTGGACACCTAGTAGAGTCCCTGACAAATTGATGCTGTTCTGAGGGCAAAAGGGGGTGCATATTAGGAATGTGTTCCTAATGTTTTGTACACTCAGTGTATGTCTAGGGGAAGACTAGGATGGAGTGATAGTGCTTTGAATTGAGTCTGACTTCAGCCCAGAAGGCTTTAGTGGTAAATTTGATGTTACCGTTACGAACACTATTTAACTGTTCTCTCAGAACAGAGCTAAAATGTCCAGTGGTCTTGTTTGTCGCCTCAGAGCTGCCACCCGTGATGCTGCAGAAGATGAGGGAGGTGTGTGAGCTGTCAAGTGAAACCTGCTCCTATCTCAACCACTGCCTCAGCCTCTTCTCCAGACCGGATGGGGTGTGTCACATCACGTCTGTGTCTACTAATGCTTTTTGTCCATAGCAGCTGTCTCCAGTGATTATGTTAATGTTGCTCTAGTGTTATTTTTCGGGAAGTGCGTTTTCATAGCAAGGTTTGACACAGGACTTGTGAAGAGCAGAACCAACAACTTCTACATAATCAAAACAGTTGCTTTGTGAGAAGGTGTTAACCACGGAAGGTGTTAACCCATGTTCACAGTTAGCCAGTGTTATGCAAATGAAGCCCAGAAAGTCCAAGTGGCCTCACCTTGGCCCCAGATCAGAGCAGATCCACCGAGGTCATGGGCCAGTGAGTCATTAGAGCCGGGCCGTGGCAGTGGAAACACAGAAGTCTGAGGCTTGTTGTAAAATCCTGGGGAAAATCCTTAGTGGAAATTCGCCATAGACTTACTACCAATATACACAAACACACACACTGAGCAAGGCTGTGCCATTGGCAGGTAGTTGATTAATGCAGCTGGTTCATGGGATTCAAAGGGGACGGAAAAGGGATGGAGCCGTGAGAAGTGTGTTTTATGCTGATGTTTACAATCAGCTGGGAAATCTCTCCCAGACACACAAGCACGTAAAGGACAGAAAGTTACTCATATACTCACAAAGTAAGTTGATTAAAGAGGATACACTCTGAAGAGAAAGACTCAAGTACAGTGCATTCGGAAAGTAGACAGACCCCTTGACTTTTTCCACATTTTGTTATGTTACAGCCTTATTCTAAAATGGATTAAACCGTTTTTTCCCTCCTCAATCTACACACAATACCCCATAATGACAAAGCAAAAAGCGTTTTTCTACATTTTTTTGCAAATGCATAAAAATAAAAATAAAAACGGACATAGAACATTTACATACAGTGAGGGAAAAAAGTATTTGATCCCCTGCTGATTTTGTACGTTTGCCCACTGACAAAGACATGATCAGTCTATAATTTTAATGGTAGGTTTATTTGAACAGTGAGAGACAGAATAACAACAACAAAATCCAGAATAACGCATGTCAAAAATGTTAGAAATTGATTTGCATTTTAATGAGGGAAATAAGTATTTGACCCCTCTGCAAAACATTGACTTAGTACTTGGTGGCAAAACCCTTGTTGGCAATCACAGAGGTCAGACGTTTCTTGTAGTTGGCCACCTGGTTTGCACACATCTCAGGAGGGATTTTGTCCCACTCCTCTTTGCAGATCTTCTCCAAGTCATTAAGGTTTCGAGGCTGATGTATGGCAACTCGAACCTTCAGCTCCCTCCACAGATTTTCTATGGGATTAAGGTCTGGAGACTGGCTAGGCCACTCTAGGACCTTAATGTGCTTCTTCTTGAGCCACTCCTTTGTTGCCTTGGCTGTGTGTTTTGGGTCATTGTCATGCTGGAATACCCATCCACGACCCATTTTCAATGCCCTGGCTGTGGGAAGGAGGTTCTCACCCAAGATTTGACGGTACATGGCCCCGTCCATCGTCCCTTTGATGCGGTGAAGTTGTCCTGTCCCCTTAGCAGAAAAACACCCCCAAAGCATAATGTTTCCACCTCCATGTTTGACGGTGGGGATGGTGTTCTTGGGGTCATAGGCAGCATTCCTCCTCCTCCAAACACGGCGAGTTGAGTTGATGCCAAAGAGCTCGATTTTGGTCTCATCTGACCACAACACTTTCACCCAGTTCTCCTCTGAATCATTCAGATGTTCATTGGCAAACTTCAGACGGGCCTGTATATGTGCTTTCTTGAGCAGGGGGACCTTGCGGTCGCTGCAGGATTTCAGTCTTTCACGGTAGTGTGTTACCAATTGTTTTCTTGGTGACTATGGTCCCAGCTGCCTTGAGATCATTGACAAGATCCTCCCGTGTAGTTCTGGGCTGATTCCTCACCGTTCTCATGATCATTGTAACTCCACGAGGTGAGATCTTGCATGGAGCCCCAGGCCGAGGGAGATTGACAGTTATTTTGTGTTTCTTCCATTTGCGAATAATCGCACCAACTATTTTCACCTTCTCACCAAGCTGCTTGGCGATGGTCTTGTAGCCCATTCCAGCCTTGTGTAGGTCTACAATCTTGTCCCTGACATCATTGAAGAGCTCTTTGGTCTTGGCCATGGTGGAGAGTTTGGAATCTGATTGATTGATTGCTTCTGTGGCAGGTGTCTTTTCTACAGGTAACAAGCTGAGATTAGGATCACTCCCTTTAAGAGTGTGCTCCTAATCTCAGCTCGTTACCTGTATAAAAGACACCTGGGGGCCAGAAATCTTTCTGATTGAGAGGGGGTCAAATACTTATTTCCCTCATTAACATGCAAATCAATTTATAACATTTTTGACATGCGTTTTTCTGAATTTTGTTGTTGTTATTCTGTCTCTCACTGTTCAAATAAACCTACCATTAAAATTATAGACGGATCATTTCTTTGTCAGTGGGCAAACGTACAAAATCAGCAGGGGATCAAGTACTTTTTTCCCTCACTGTAAGTATTCAGACCCTTTACTCAGCACTTTGTTGAAGCACCTTTGTCAGCGATTACAACCTCGAGTCTTCTTGGGATTGATGCTACAAGCTTGGCACACCTGTATTTGGGGAGTTGCTCCCATTCTTCTCTGCAGATTGGATTGGGAACATCGCTGCACAGCTATTTTCAGGTCTCTCCAGAGATGTTCGATCAGGTTCATGTCCTGGCTCTGGTTGGGCCACCCAAGGACATTCAGAGACTTGTACCGAAGCCACTCCTGCGTTGTCTTGGCTGTGTGCTTAGGGTCGTTATCCTGTTGGAAGGTGAACATTCACCCCAGTCTGAGGTTCGGAGCGCTCTGGAACAGATTTTCATCAAGGATCTCTCTGTACTTTGCTCCGTTCATCTTTCCCTCAATCCTGACTAGTCTCCCAGTCCCTGCCGCTGAAAAACATCCCCACAGCATGATGCTGCCACCACCATGCTTCACCGTAGGGATGGTATTGGCCAGATGATGAGCGGTGCCTGGTTTCCTCCAGACGTGGCGCTTGGCATTCAGGCCAAAGAGTTCAATCTTGGTTTCATCAGACCAGAGAATCTTGTTTCTCATGGTCTGAGAGTCCTTTAGGTGCCTTTTGGCAAACTCCAAGCGGGCTGTCATGTGTCTTTTACTGAGGAGAGGCTTCCATCTGGCCACTCTACCATAAAGGCCTGATTGGTGGAGTTCTGAAGAGATGGTTGTTCTTCTGGAAGGTTCTCCCATCTCCACAGAGAAACTCTGGAACTCTGTCAGAGTGACCATCAGGTTCTTGGTCACCTCCCTGACCAAGGCCCTTCTTCCACGATTGCTCAGTTTGGCCGGGCGGCCAGCTCTAGGAAGAGTCTTGGTGGTTCCAAACTTCTTCAATTTAAGAATGATGGAGGCCACTGTGTTCTTTAGGACCTGCAGTGCTGCAGAAATTAGTTTGGACCCTTCCCCAGATCTGTACCTCTACACAGTCTTGGAGCTCTACGGACAATTCCTTCAACCTCATGGCTTGGTTTTTGCTCTGACATGCACTGTCAACTGTGGGACCTAATATAGACTGGTGTGTGCCTTTCCAAATCATGTCCAATCAATTAAATTTACCACAGGTGGACTCCAATCAAGTTGTAGAAACATCTCAAGGATGAACATTAAATCTCAAGACAGTTTTCTGCTCCCAAAACTAGAATCTGTTGAGAACAGAGTGCACTAAGTTTTGTAGACATGACCCTTTGCCAATTTAAAAAAAAAAATGCCGTTGTTTAGAAGGAGTGCAAGGGCGAATTGAGTTATTGCACACGGAAATATATATATATATATATTTAAATGTGCCAATATGATTTCGCTAGCTCGGACTTGGCTCTGCCCACCTCCTTGCTTGTTCTACCCACTATGCTTCATTTGCTCCCATTGGAAATTACGTTGATGAGATGTCTTGGGTTAGTTACCAGTATCTTTGCTAACAGTGCTAGCTAGCTTCCCCTTGAGATGGGCTCTAGAGCCTAGCAGTGCTAGCTAGCTACCCCTTGAGTGGAGGAGGCTGTTGAGCCACTGTACAGTATGAAACTGACCAGCAGTCATGACCTTGGTAGATGTTGCTCTCCCATACAATGGTGTACATGGACCTGAGGGTGAACTATTAATGAGGCACAGTTTGATATACTAATGTGTCCAAATGCATTTACATCATACTGTAGATTATATCTGATGTTTTGACACAAACTGTTCGTGTTTTGTGAGGTGGCATGTCAGGTGGGGTATGTATGTTTGTTTGACACTGTATGCAGATAGATTATACAAGTGGTTAGGAATTTTCAACACACAAATGTTTCTTAAAAAGACTAGAAGAGAAGTGGTCAATTTCTCCTCAACCCTCAACCATGAAAGACTATCATGCATATTGTTAATGTTAGTTATTTGTGTGCAGTTAAGGGCAAGGCATGGTGCTTTGTTTTGAGCCAGCTGCAGCTTTGCTAGGTCTTTCTTTGCTGCACCTGGCCATGTTACTGGACATCAAGATGGGACAAGATCAAAGACTGAATAACTAGTACAGTTGATCTTTGTGCCAAAAATGCAGAACATATTTTTATAACAGACATACCTCTCCCCATCTTCACAACAACTTTGTCAATATGACAATAGTGACTGTCTGATAGTAATTCTCTATAGAACTACGTCTGCCATTACTCAGAGTCACACTCCAGCTCAAGCTACTGGGAAGGCAAATGTTACTACTATTGCTAAGTGATATTACAGTACTGTCATGCCCTGGCTCTGGGGACGCTTGTATGTTGAGCCAGGGTGTGAGTTTTCTTTGTTTGTTCTAGTTTTGTATTTCTATGTTGGCCAGGGTGGCTCCCAATCGGAGACGGCTGTAGCTCGTTGTCTCTGATTGGGAGCCATACTTAGGTAGCCGTTTGGCATTGTTTTATGTGGGATCTTGTTCCGTATGGTTTGTGTTGTAACCAAGGACTTCACGTTTCGTATCGTTTGTTGTTTTGTTCGGGTGATTATTCTAATAAATAAAAGTATGTTCGCCTTCCACGCTGTGCCTTGGTCCTCTGTATCCGACGATCGTGACAGAAGATCCCACCATAACTGGACCAAGCAGCGTGTCCAGGAGCCAACGCCAGAGGTGACTCTGAAGGATATCAACCTCGACTGGGTCAAGCTGCGGGAGGAGGAGAGAGGCTGGACTTTGGAGCAGTGGAGCAAGAGTCTGGCGAGAGCCATGGAGGCCTGGCCCACGGGGAGGAGAGACGGCCAGAAAATTTTTAGGGGGGGGGCTCACGCCGTGGACGACGGGGCAGCAGGAGGCCGCCAGGTTACGGGAGTCACTGGTCACCAGGGGGAAGGAGGATGTAGAGGCACGGCGAGAGGTACTGGGGTGTGTTGCCAGTCCGGTCCGGCCCGTTCCTGATTCCCGTGTAGGGCCAGTGGTACGGTCCGGCTTGTTCCTGTCCCTCGCACCGAGCCTGTGGTGCGCGTCGCCAGCCCGGTCCGGCCTGTTCCTGCCCCTCGCACCAAACCAGTGGTGCGCTTCGTCAGCCCGGTCCGGCCCGTTCCTGCTCCCCGCACCAAGCCGGTGGTGTGCGTCGTCAGTCCGGCACAGCCCGTGCCTGTTCCACCGGTGCCTGGTCCAGCACCGGTCAGCTGCTCCACGCCAGAGCTAGAGCAATCCGCTCCACCAGTGTTCAGTCCAGCTCCAGCCAGCAGGGCCAGACCGGACCAGGGGTACTTTGGGGGGTTAGAGAGGGAGTGGGGATCATGCCCGGAGCCGGATCCGCCGCCAAGGCGGAGTGCCCACCCGGTCCCTCCCCTGTGGTGTTTGGTTGGCGCGGTCGGAGTCCGCGCCTTTGGGGGGGGGTACTGTCATGCCCTGGCTCTGGGGACGCTTGTATGTTGAGCCAGGGTGTGAGTTTTCTTTGTTTGTTCTAGTTTTGTATTTCTATGTTGGCCAGGGTGGCTCCCAATCGGAGACGGCTGTAGCTCGTTGTCTCTGATTGGGAGCCATACTTAGGTAGCCGTTTGGCATTGTTTTATATGGGATCTTGTTCCGTATGGTTTGTGTTGTAACCAAGGACTTCACGTTTCGTATCGTTTGTTGTTTTGTTCGTGTGGTGTTCTCTAAATAATAAAGTATGTTCACATTCCACGCTGCGCATTGGTCCTCTCTTCCCGACGATCGTGACAAGTACCATCATCTGCTGATTATAACACAGCATCTCCTGAGGGGTGATTCTACTACTGCTTCTGTTGCTGCTGGTTCCTCAACAGTGCTCTGTTTTGTGAGCTCACAGACTAATGCCAGTGTCCCACTGTGCAGGCCTATGTTATGGGATAAACTCTTTACCAGCAAAGCAAATGGAAGAGGCTAGAGTTATTGTGAGTTAATTTGCAGCGCTGGTTCAGTGAGTCTTTGCTGTGATTGTGTAGTGAGTGTGTTATTGTAGTTGGTTCCTGGTTTGAAGTGTGACTGTTTCACTGTGTCTCACTGCTACTGCATCTTATGGTTGTAGATGTTGTAGTACTGCGTGCGTGCATGTGTGCGCTTGTGTGTCTGTGCGTGTGTGGTTGTTTTGTGGCGTGTGTGTGTGTGTGTTTGGGGCTCAGGTGCGCAGTCTGAAATTGGAGCAGGAGGTTGAGAAGAATAATATCCTGTCTGAAGAACTTCAGACTCTGGCTACAGAGCACCACGAACTAGAGCTGTCCGTTGTCAAGGGCTCCTCTCCACGGAGCGCGCTCAGTGAGGATGAGTTCTACGACGCTATGTCTGGTGAGTATGGCTTGTTTTTATTTACAATCGGAATAGAATTGAAATGAGAGAGCTTGAGATAAAAAAAACTGGTGTCTTGTCTCACATGTTTGACAGTATGATTATTTTCTTGGTGCCTATGCATTTTATAGTCTAGGTCCCTTAAACTCAACTCTGGACCTCTAAGCCAGTTCCACTACTTGTTTTAATTGTTCTCCTCTAATTAGGGACTGATTTAGACCTGGCACACCAGGTGTGTGCAATTAATTATCAGGTAGAACAGAAAACCAACAGGCTCCGAACCACATAGGGTAAGAGTTGAATACCCCTTGTCTAGGTGTTTACATGTTGTGCTAAGATGACTTTCTTGTTTGAATGTAGTGTGTGCATCAATTTAGTTGCAATTGAGCAATACCTACGAAGTACTATTTCACTTTGAAAAGGCTTTTTTTGTCACAAGATGGCCTATGATAATGGTTATGATGAGCTTTGTAACGCTTGATTGACTGATGCCTTCAGCCTTCAGGTTGGTTCAGGGCTCTTTAAATGCAATTCTATCCACAGATCTGGTTTCTTCTGTTAGGGCTATAGTGAGGCTCAGGGAAAGGTGTCAGTTGTCGATAGCGACACAGTCATTCATAGCACTGTCACTCATATATCCAGTCCCTGCCTTTACAACATGCCTGCTTACGCCCTTTCATCTCAGACTTAGACTCGGAGCACTCTCTGAGCGTCTTTGAGGCAGTGGCCAGTCATTCGTTCAACAAGGACGAGGAGAAAGGCTTGTCCTGTTCAACAGTGAGCGCAACCAGCATGTCTCGGGAGGATCACCATGGCAATGAGGAGTCCCGACCCAATGGGATCGTGAGGCACAGGTGAGCTGAGCCAAGTCCCCCCCCCCCCCCCCCGACACACCACCTCCTACCCACCCAGCGTCTCTCCCATCCACCCTACATCCAAGCACACACAGGGAACAGTCCCATTTATAGTACACAGCTGTTTTAGAAAGTAGAAGCTTCAGATTTGGATTAAACCGGGAAAGAAAAGCCTCTTTGCATAATAAACTACAGGTAACTGCAAAAATAAAGGAAACACTTGAGTAAAGGAGGTATACAAAGTATATTGAAAGCAGGTACTTCCACACAGGTGTGGTTCCTGAGTTAATTATGCAATTAAAACATCCCATCATGCTTAGGGTCATGTAGAAGAATGCCCAGTTGCCCATTATTTTGGCTAGCATGGCTAGAAGAAGAGCTCTCAGTGACTTTGAAAGAGGGGTCTCAAAGGATCATAAAGGGTGTGTGTGTGTGTCTGTCTCAGTCATCAGAGCTCAACCTAATTGAACACTTATGGGAGATTTTGAAGTGGTGCCTGAGACTGTTTTCCACCACCATCAACAAAGCACTGAATTATGGAATTCCTCGTGGAAGAATGATATCGCATCCCTCCAATAGAGTTCCAGACACTTGTAGAATCTATGCCCATTGCCCTATTAAGACACTTTGTCACTTTTTCTATATTTTGGCAGTAACCTGTACCTTTTTAAAGTCATATTTTTGTTGTTGTTTGTCAATTAAACTTTTGTCTCTCCCTTTCCGTTTGAGAGAACCGTTTTTGTAAAAAAAAGCCTAGAGCAGTGGCAAAGGCAAAGAAACATCCTGTGTTTTATCTCCTACTTTAGACCAGTGTTGGAACTGAGTGGTTCTTAGGACTAACTTAATACAGAGGTGGAGTTTCTTCCAGCTCCTAACTATCAGTCTTGTTGTTTATCCTACTGTTTGTTTTCTTGTTGTGTTCCTAGACTACATATGGTGGATTTTTAGTGTGTTTTCAGAGTCAGTGTGTGAATAATTGAGCAAGGCAGCTTGGCTGGTCCAGGCAGGAGAAAGGCTCTCATTGAGTAGGCTGAGTGCTGTGTAGAACCAGTTAAACATTGATGTGGTCACAGTGTCATGCAATAATCGGAATTCAGTAGGACCCTATGTTGACTGATCTGAACGCTGAACGCTGATCAGGACATAGAAGTGGAGGCCAGGCTTTTGGGATGGCCATACATTTTTATACTTTTTCAAATCTGTCTCATTCACTGTTTTTAAAGAAAAACATTAAAAACATAAAAACCTGTGGTGGTCCAAATGGTCAAGCCCAACCTGACTGACTGACAGTGGTAGTTAGCATATGTGCTTAATGGGATGTATAAACCACAGGTTTTTATCTTCTTCACATGTCTTTGTGTGAGCAAGCATTTGTGTTAAATATAGGTGTTCATGGTGCCAACATGTACATTTGTTGGTAAGATTACTCTTGCCTTAAAATGGAGTAGAAGTGAAGGCCTCAAGGAGCAGATATTTCCATGGATGGCTACTGGACAGTAGTGGTGTAGTGGTGTTGATTTTAGACCTGGGCTTTGGTCCAATATGTCAGCTCTACACGTGCCTGAAACTAAACTGAAGGCTTTTGTTGCACTCAGCAGACTATATTCGCCTGAATAAGATATGACTCCTGCATTAGATATAAACCATCTGTTACATGCCTGGCACGTCTCATTGAAATAAATGCAGATCACAGTATGATAAGGGTAGTGTCAAAGTCAACAGAGCACACCGTGATACTTGTATCATTTGTACATTTACCAGATTTTATGTTTGTGCATCTGTATATCCCTCACTACAGCACAAGTTTACCTGCATCCATGTTCTCCAGAAATGACTTTAGCATGTGGAGTATCCTGAGGAAATGCATTGGCATAGTGAGCTATCAACCAGAAGCACTCAGCTTTATTGTTCCTCTCCAAACCCCCGTAACATGATGAATAAAGGGAACCTTCCTCTTAAAGCCTGGCCATAATAGTGCCTGTATTGTAGATCAGTCAATCCAATACTGATGTGGTGTGCAGAAAGTAACCTACATCTATACAATTATGTGTGGAGCTTTTCTTTAGCAACAGCTTACAGCATGTACAGTGAGGGAAAAAAGTATTTGATCCCCTGCTGATTTTGTACGTTTGCCCACTGACAAAGACATGATCAATCTATAATTTTAATGGTAGGTTTATTTGAACAGTGAGAGACAGAATAACAACCAAAAAATCCAGAAAAACGCATGTCAAAAATGTTATAAATTGATTTGCATTTTAATGAGGGAAATAAGTATTTGACCCCTCTGCAAAACATGACTTAGTACTTGGTGGCAAAACCCTTGTTAGCAATCACAGAGGTCAGACGTTTCTTATAGTTGGCCACCAGGTTTGCACACATCTCAGGAGGGATTTTGTCCCACTCCTCTTTGCAGATCTTCTCCAAGTCATTAAGGTTTCGAGCCTGTCGTTTGGCAACTCGAACCTTCAGCTCCCTCCACAGATTTTCTATGGGATTAAGGTCTGGAGACTGGCTAGGCCACTCCAGGACCATAATGTGCTTCTTCTTGAGCCACTCCTTTGTTGCCTTGGCTGTGTGTTTTGGGTCATTGTCATGCTGGAATACCCATCCACGACCCATTTTCAATGCCCTGGCTGAGGGAAGGAGGTTCTCACCCAAGATTTGATGGTACATGGCCCCGTCCATCGTCCCTTTGATGCAGTGAAGTTGTCCTGCCCCCTTAGCAGAAAAACACCCCCTAAGCATAATGTTTCCACCTCCATGTTTGATGGTGGGGATGGTGTTCTTGGGGTCATAGGCAGCATTCCTCCTCCTCCAAACACGGCAAGTTGAGTTGATGCCAAAGAGCTCGATTTTGGTCTCATCTGACCACAACACTTTCACCCAGTTCTCCTCTGAATCATTCAGATGTTCATTGGCAAACTTCAGACGGCCCTGTATATGTGCTTTCTTGAGCAGGGGGACCTTGCGGGCGCTGCAGGATTTCAGTCCTTCACGGCGTAGTGTGTTACCAATTGTTTTCTTGGTGACTATGGTCCCAGCTGCCTTGAGATCATTGACAAGATCCTCCCGTGTAGTTCTGGGCTGATTCCTCACTGTTCTCATGATCATTGCAACTCCACGAGGTGAGATCTTGCATGGAGCCCCAGGCCAAGGGAGATTGACATCCTTGGAGAGCTCTTTGGTCTTGGCCATGGTGCAGAATCTGTTTGATTGATTGCTTCTTTGGATAGGTGTCTTTTGTACAGGTAACAAACTGAGATTAGGAGCACTCCCTTTAAGAGTGTGCCCCTAATCTCAGCTCGTTACCTGTATAAAAGACACCTGGGAGCCAGAAATCTTTCTGATTGAGAGGGGGTCAAATACTTATTTCCCTCATTAAAATGCAAATCAATTTATAACATTTTTGACATGCGTTTTTCTGGATTTTTTGGTTGTTATTCTGTCTCTCACTGTTCAAATAAACCTACCATTAAAATTATAGACTGATCATTTCTTTGTCAGTGGGCAAATGTACAAAATCAGCAGGGGATCAAATACTTTTTTCCCTCACTGTATATACAGTTGAAGTCGGAAGTTTACATACACTTAGTTTGTTAACAAGAATCCAACCTATAGTTTTGGCAAGTCGGATAGGACATCTACTTTGTCCATGACACAAGTAATTTTTCCAACAATTGTTTACAGACAGATTATTTCACTTATAATTCACTGTATCACAATTCCAGTGGGTCAGAAGTTTACATACACTAAGTCGACTGTGCCTTTAAACAGCTTGAAATCATTTGTGTCAATTGGAGGTGTACCTGTGGATGTATTTCAAGGCCTACCTTCAAACTCAGTGCCTCTTTGCTTGACATCATGGGAAAATCAAAAGAAATCAGCCAAGACCTCAGAAAAACAATTGTAGACCTCCACAAGTCTGGTTCATCCTTGGGAGCAATTTCCAAATGCCCTGAAGGTACCACGTTCATCTGTACAAACAATAGTATGCAAGTATAAACACCATGGGATCACGCAGCCGTCATACCGCTCAGGAAGGAGACGCGTTCTGTCTCCTAGAGATGAACGTACTTTGGTGTGAAAAGTGCAAATCAATCCCAGAACAACAGCAAAGGACCTTGTGAAGATGCTGGAGGAAACAGGTACAAAAGTATCTATATCCACAGTAAAAAGAGTCCTATATCGACATAACCTGAAAGGCCGCTCAGCAAGGAAGAAGCCACCGCTCCAAAACCGCCATAAAAAAGGCAGACTACGGTTTGCAACTGCACATGGGGACAAAGATCAAACTTTCTGGAGAAATTTCCTCTGGTCTGATGAAACAAAAATAGAACTGTTTGGCCATAATGACCATCGTTATGTTTTTAGGAAAAATGGGGAACACCATTCCAACCGTGAAGAACGGGGTGGCAGCATCATGCTGTGGGGGTGCTTTGCTGCAGGAGGGGCTGGTGCACTTCACAAAATAGATGGCATCATGAGGAAGGAAAATGATGTGGATATATTGAAGCAACATCTCAAGACATCAGTCAGGAAGTTAAAGCTTGGTCGCAAATGGGTCTTCCAAATGGACAATGACCCTAAGCATACTTCCAAAGTTGTGGCAAAATGGCTTAAGGACAACAAAGTCAAGGTATTGGAGTGGCCATCACAAAGCCCTGACCTCAATCCTATAGAGAATTTGTGGGCAGAACTGAAAAAACGTGTGCGAGCAAGGAGGCCTACAAACCTGACTCAGTTACACAAGCTCTGTCAGGAGGAATGGGCCAAAATTCACCCAACTTATTGTGGGAAGCTTGTGGAAGGCTACCCGAAACATTTGACCCAAGTTAAACAATTTAAAGGCAATGCTACCAAATACTAATTGAGTGTATGTAAACTTCTGACCCACTGGGAATGTGATGAAATAATTAAAAGCTGAAATAAATCATTCTCTCTACTATTATTCTGACATTTCACATTCTTAAAATAAAGTGGTGATCCTAACTGACCTAAGACAGGGAATTTTTATTAGGATTAAATGTCAGGAATTGTGAAAAACTGAGTTTAAATGTATTTGGCTAAGGTGTATGTAAACTTCCGACTTCAACTGTAAAGGGTCTAGCATGTCATAATCGTGATGTGGAATGCAGTTCAGTAGCAGGGTGTGGTCCTCTGTAGCTTAGCTGGTAGAGCACGGTGCTTGTAACGCCAAGGTAGTGGGTTCGATCCCCGGGACCACCCATACACAAAAAAAATTTATGCATGCATGACTGTAAGTTGCTTTGGATAAAAGCGTCTGTGAAATGGCATATTATTAATAGTGCCTTCAGAAAGTATTCACACCCCTTGACTTTTTCCACATTTTGTTGTGTTACAAAAAGGGATTAAAATGGATTTCATTTTATTTTTTTGTCAACGATCTAAACAAAATAGTCTGTAATATCAAAGTGGAAGAAAAATTCTAACATTTGTAAAATAAAATAAAAATAAAAAATATATATCTTGATTAGATAAGTATTCATCCCTCTGTCAATGCATGGGTAAGTCTCTAAGAGGTTTCCACACCTGGATTGTGCAAAATTTGCCCATTATTCTTTTCAAAATTCTTCAAGCTCAAATTGGTTGTTGATCATTGCTAGACAAAAAATGTCAGGTCTTGCCATAGATTTTCAAGCACATTTAAGTCAAAACTGTAACTCAGCCTCTCAGGAACATTCACTGTCTTCTTGGTAAGCAACTCCAGTGTAGATTTGGCCTTGTGTTTAAGGTTATTGTCCTGGTGAAAGGTGAATTCATCTCCCCAGTATTTAGTGGAAAGCAGACTGAATCAGGTTTTCCTCTAGGATTTTGCCTGTCCTTAGCGCCATTCAGTTTCTTTTTTTAGCCTAAAAAACTCCCCAGTCCTTAACAACTACAAGCATACCCATAACATGATGCAGCTACTACTATGCTTGAAGATATGGAGAGTGGTACTCAGTAATGTGTTGTATTGGATTTGCCCCAAACATAACACTTTGTATTCAGGGCAAAAAGGGAATTGCTTTGACACATTTTTTGCAGTGTTACATTAGTGCCTTGTTGCAAACAGGATGGATGTTTTGGAATATTTGTATTCTGTAACGGCTTCCTTCTTTTGACTCTGTCAATTAGGTTAGTATTGTGTAGTAACTACAATGTTGTTGATCCATCCTCAGTTTTCTCCTATCACAGCCATTAAACTCTGTAGCTTTTTTAAAGTCACCATTGGCCTCATGGTGAAATCCATGAGCGGGTTTCCTTCCTTTCCGGCAACTGAGTTAGAAAGGACACCTGTATCTTTGTAGTGACTGGGTGTATTGATACACCATCCAAAGTGCAATTAATAACTTCACCATGCTCAAAGGGATATTCAATGTCTGCTTCTACCTATAGGTGCCCTTCTTTGCGAGGCATTGGAAAACCTCCCTGGTCTTTGTGGTTGAACCTGTTTGAAATTCACTGCTCAACTGAGGGACCTTACAGTGTGGGGTACAGAGATGGGGGTACTCATTAAAAAAGCATGCTAAACACTATTATTGCACACAGATTGAGTCTATGCAACTTATTATGTGACTTGTTAAGTACATTTGTTCTCCCCAATTGGTAGTTACAGTCTTGTCCCATCGCTGCAACTCCCGTACTGACTTGGGAGAGGCGAAGGTTGAGAGCCATGTGTCCTCCAAAACACGACCCTGCTAAGCCGCTCTTCTTCTTGACACACTGCTCGCTTAACCCGGAAGCCAGCCGCACCAATGTGTTGGAGGAAACACTGTACAACTGGACCGAAGTCAGCGTGCATGCGCCCTGCCCGCCACAAGAGTCGCTAGAGCGCGATGGGACAAGGACATTCCGGCCGGCCAAACCCTCCCCTAACCCGGACGATGCTGGGCAAAATTGTACGCCACCTCATGGGTCTCCCGGTCAAGGCCGGCTGCAACACAGCCTGGGATCGAACCAGGGTCTGTGGTGACTCCTCAAGCACTACGATGCAGTGCCTTAGACCGCTGCGCCACTAGAGAGGCCCCGTTTACCACATTTTTACTCCTGAACTTATTCAGGCTTGCCACAACAAAGGGGTTGAATACTTATTGACAGAAGACATTTCAGCTTTTCATGTTTTTATTAATTTGTTAAAAATTCCAAAAACATAATTCTACTTTGACATTATGGGGTATTGTGTGTAGGCCAGTGACAAAAATTTTTCAATTTTATCCATTTTAAATTCAGGCTATGACACAACAAAATGTGGAAAAAGTCAAGGGGTGTGAATACTTTCTAAAGGCACATACAGTACCCTAGCATGCAAACTAATCCTGGTACTGTAAAGCGATTAAAATGTCAGTGCTGTAGCTTTTGGGGGGTTCTGTATGGACTAATTGATGCTTGATGGAATTATGTGTGAATTCTAACACACACACACACACACATAGTATGTACATTTAAAATGGAAGAGGAAAGTGGAACAGGGGAAAAAGTAAGGAACTTGTCTGTCGGCCCTGCATTAAAGACCATAATTGGTTAAAGAAAATTGTGATAAATAAAAAAGTATACCAGTTTCATTTAAGGATCAAAGGATTGACAGCCGTCCCATATAGATTGCAAAATAGTTGGGAAGAGATTTTTGACGTACCGAATCCATGGCATAGTGTTTATGAACTGATACGCAAAACGACGCCGGATTCAAAACTTGGAATATTTCCATTTCAATTATTATACAAAATTCTTGCTACCAATAGAATGTTATTTATATGGGGGATACAATCTTCCCAGCTCTGCAGATTTTGCTGCGAAGAGACAGAATCATTAGATCATTTGTTTTGGTACTGTCCATTTGTAGCTTGTTTTTGGTCACAGATCCAGGAATGGTTGAAGGATTGCAATATTTACCTGGAGCTAACCTTGCAGATAGCACTACTGGGTGATCTGAAAAGTCATAGTCAATCGGTCAATAATATAATAATACTTTTAGCAAAAATGTTTATTTTCAATTTACAATCTGTAGAAACAATGAGAATAGAAGGGTTCAGAACGTTTGTGAAACATCACAGTACAGTTGAAAATATATATGGCAAATAGAAATCCAATATGGATGGTGTTAAGAGATAGATGGGAGGTGTTGAATGGAGCTGAAGGATGGGACTAATAACAACTAACAACAACTAATAACAACAAGATAACTAATGTAAAGCATACTGTGTCCATAATAAGACTGAGCTACATCCCTGCCGGCCATTCCCTCCCCTACCCTGGACGACGCTGGGCCAATTGTGCGCCGCCCATGAGTCTCCCGGTCGCGGCCGGCTGCGACAGAGCTTGGATTCGAACCAGGATCTCTAGTGGCACAGTTAGCACTGCGATGCAGTGCCTTAGACCACTGCGCCACTCAGGAGTATGTATATAGTATGTATAAGCTGGAAGTAGAGGCCTAAACATTGTTGTTTACTCCAATTAGGGAAGGGGTGGTGGGGTTGGAAAGTAGTAAAGGGAAATATATATATTTTTAAAGGATATGTAAATGTATTTATATGTATGTATATGTGTGTGTGTGTGTGTGTGTGTTATATATATATACAGTGCGGAGAACAAGTATTTGATACACTGCCGGTTTTGCAGGTTTTCCTACTTACAAAGCATGTAGAGGTCTGTAATTTTTATCATACACTTCAACTGTGAGAGACGGAATCTAAAACATAAATCCAGAAAATCACAGTGGGGAAAAAAAAGTATTTAGTCAGCCACCAATTGTGCAAGTTCTCCCACTTAAAAAGATGAGAGAGGCCTGTCATGTTCATCATAGGTACACGTCAACTATGACAGACAAATTGAGAGAAAAAAATCCAGAAAATCACATTGTAGGATTTTTTATGAATTTATTTGCAAATTATGGTGGAAAAATAAGTATTTGGTCACCTACAAACAAGCAAGATTTTGTGCTCTCACAGGACTGTAACTTCTTCTTTAAGAGGGCTCCTGTCCTCCACTCGTTACCTGGTATTAATGGCACCTGTTTGAACTTGTTATCAGTATAAAAGACACCTGTCCACAACCTCAAACAGTCACACTCCAAACTCCACTATGGTCAAGACCAAAGAGCTGTCAAAGGACACCAGAAACAAAATTGTAGACCTGCACCAGGCTGGGAAGACTGAATCTGCAATAGGTAAGCAGCTTGGTTTGAAGAAATCAACTGTGGGAGCAATTATTAGGAAATGGAAGACCAACAAGACCACTCATAATCTCCCTCGATCTGGGGCTCCACGCAAGATCTCACCCCGTGGGGTCAAAATGATCACAAGAACGGTGAGCAAAAATCCCAGAACCACACGGGGGGACCTAGTGAATGACCTGCAGAGAGCTGGAACCAAAGTAACAAAGCCTACCATCAGTAACACACTACGCCGCCAGGGACTCAAATCCTGCATTGCCAGACGTGTCCCCCTGCTTAAGCCAGTACATGTCCAGGCCCGTCTGAAGTTTGCTAGAGTGCATTTGGATGATCCAGAAGAGGATTGGGAGAATGTCATATGGTCAGATGAAACCAAAATAGAACTTTTTGGTAAAAACTCAACTCATCGTGTTTGGAGGACAAAGAATGCTGAGTTGCATCCAAAGAACACCATACCTACTGTGAAGCATGGGGGTGGAAACTTCATGCTTTGGGGCTGTTTTTCTGCAAAGGGACCAGGACGACTGATCCGTGTAAAGGAAAGAATGAATGGGGCCATGTATCGTGAGATTTTGAGTGAAAACCTCCTTCCATCAGCAAGGGCATTGAAGATGAAACGTGGCTGGGTCTTTCAGCATGACAATGATCCCAAACACACCGCCCGGGCAACGAAGGAGTGGCTTCGTAAGAAGCATTTCAAGGTCCTGGAGTGGCCTAGCCAGTCTCCAGATCTCAACCCCATAGAACATCTTTGGAGGGAGTTGAAAGTCCGTGTTACCCAGCGACAGCCCCAAAACATCACTGCTCTAGAGGAGATCTGCATGGAGGAATGGGCCAAAATACCAGCAACAGTGTGTGAAAACCTTGTGAAGACTTACAGAAAACGTTTGACCTGTGTCATTGCCAACAAAGGGTATATAACAAAGTATTGAGAAACTTTTGTTATTGACCAAATACTTATTTTCCACCATAATTTGCAAATTCATAAAAAATCCTACAATGTGATTTTCTGGAATTTTTTTTCTCAATTTGTCTGTCATAGTTGACGTGTACCTATGATGAAAATTACAGGCCTCTCTCATCTTTTTACGTGGGAGAACTTGCACAATTGGTGGCTGACTAAATACTTTTTTCCCCCACTGTATAGGTTATAGGTTGAGAGCTTTTGTGAAAGAGCACAGTTAGAAAGATATGGCATATAGAAGCAAACCGGATGGACATCATGAAAATGATCGGAGAGGTTGAGTGTAGAGGAATTTCAGGAGTAAAAACAAACAAAATAGAATTATTGTAAAATTGACTGTGTCCATAAAATGTATATAGTATGTATAAGCTGGAAGTAGAGGCCTAAGCGTTGTTGTTCACTAGTTTACTCCAATTAGGGGAGGGGTGGTGGGGTTGGAAAGTAGTAAAGGGAAATATATTTTTAAAGGATATGTATGTATATGTGTGTGTGTGTGTGTGTGTGTGTGTGTGTGTGTGTGTGTGTGTGTGTGTGTGTATATATATATATACAGTGGGGAGAACAAGTATTTGATACACTGCCGGTTTTGCAGGTTTTCCTACTTACAAGGCATGTAGAGGTCTGTAATTTTTATCATACACTTCAACTGTGAGAGACGGAATCTAAAACAAAAATCCAGAAAATCACATTGTATGATTTTTAAGTAATTCATTTGCATTTTATTGCATGACATAAGTATTTGATCACCTACCAACCAGTAAGAATTCCGACTCAAACATGCAAAATCGGCAGTGTATCAAATACTTTTTTTTGCGAGAAAATGTGAAAGTGATGCAGACAATTACATTGATGGAAGTAACAATCTATCTGCAATCTCTGACAGAGAGGATCTGGGGTTCCGGTTGATCTCAGATCAGGTGAGCCACCACCCACCAGTCAGTGCGTTCCACGCCGAAGGCCTGAAGAAAGACTTTGTGTTCCACGGCTCCATCTACCCCAAACTCAAGTTCTGGGGCAAGAGTGTGGAGGCTGAACCCAAAGGCATCATCACACTGGAGCTTCCCAAGTAAGCCTACTCATTCATGCACTGTAACTTTCACACCACATTCAAACAACACAACAGTTATGTGTGATGTTTTCTCATGTTGCCTGTGTGAAACCAAAATGTATTGTTCCACGACATGTTGTTTTAGAGTTATTATTTGTACTTCAGGTACAATGAGGCCTACACATGGACAAACCCTACATGTTGTGTACACAACATCATCGTGGGGCAGCTGTGGATTGAGCAGTATGGCAACGTGGAGGTGTTCAACCACAAGTAAGGGAAACACTCTCACATGCTCGGACTAAGAAGGAAATGCAATGTGTGAATGGGGATGCATGACCAAAAGAAATGAAAAGGAAAATGATTTGATGGTATTTCTGCTTTTTTCACAGAACTGGAGAAAGATGCTGTCTGAATTTCAAACCCTGTGGCCTTTTTGGCCAGGAATTGCACAAAGTTGAAGGCTACATTCTGGACAAAAGGTAGGCAGCTTTGATTTAGCCAAGGCATCTCACGTTTGTAATTTATTTCTCCAGCATGTTGCCATATTGATGGAAGTTAGGTGATGTCTGCAGTGTTTTAACTGACAGTATGTGTGTGTTTGGCACAGCAAAAAGAAGGTCTGTTCTCTCTATGGAAAGTGGACAGAGTGTATGTACATTGTGGATTATGCTGCATTGGAGGCACATAAGAGAAGTGGGAAGGGGACAGCGAAAAAGAAAAGCAGCAAACCGGTGTGTACCCCATAAAACGATGTAATCCATTACATGGTGAACACATGCTTTGAGTTCTCCAGGTTTTTTTTTTACTGCAAAGAACGTAATGTGCTGGTGTTTCAAGTTAAACATGTTGGAAGTGTAAATTCCAACCATTTTTACCGTGGTATTTTCAAGTTCTAGTTAATATATAAAAAATAAAAAAAACATCAAATTGATCAGAAATACAGTGTAGACATTGTTAATGTTGTAAATGGCTATTGTAGCTGGAAACGGCTGATTTTTTATGGAATATCTACATAGGCGTACAAAGGTGCACAACTGAGCAAGAGGACAAATACATTAGAGTGTCTAGTTTGAGAAACAGACGCCTCACAGGTCCTCAACTGGCAGCTTCATTAAATAGTACCCGCAGAACACCAGTCTCAACGTCAACAGTAAAGAGGCGACTCCGGGATGCTGACCTTCTAGGCAGAGTTGCAAAGAAAAAGCCATATCTCAGACTGGCCAATAAAAATAAAAGATTAAGATGGGCAAAATAACACACACTAGACAGAGGAAGATTGGAAAAAGTGTTATGGACAGACAAATCGAAGTTTGAGGTGTTCGGATCACAAAGAAGAACATTTGTGAGACGCAGACCAAATGAAAAGATGCTGGAGGAGTGCTTGATGCCATCGGTCAAGCATGGTGGAGGCAATGTGATGGTCTGGGGGTGCTTTGGTGGTGGTAAAGTGGGAGATTTGTACAGGGTAAAAGGGATCTTGAAGAAGGAAGGCTATCACTCCATTTTGCAACGCCATGCCATACCCTGTGGACGGTGCTTGATTGGAGCCAATTTCCTCCTACAACAGGACATTGACCCAAAGCACAGCTCCAAACTATGCAATAACTATTTAGGGAAGAAGCAGTCAGCTGGTATTCTGTCTATAATGGAGTGGCCAGCACAGTCACCGGATCTCAACCCTATTGAGCTCTTGTGGGAGCAGCTTGACCGTATGGTATGTAAGAAGTGCCCATCAAGCCAATCCAACTTGTGGGAGGTGCTTCAGGAAGCATGGGGTGAAATCTCTTCAGATTACCTTAACAAATTGACAACTAGAATGCCAAAGGTCTGCAAGGCTATAATTGCTGCAAATGGAGGATTCTTTGACGAAAGCGTAGTTTGAAGGACACAATTATTATTTATTTTAAAAATCAATGACTACATTTCCTATGCATAATGCTATATTTCCTATTCAAACTCATTTCATGTATGTTTTCATGGAAAACAAAGAAATGTCTAAGTGACCCCAAACTTTTGAACTGTAGTGTATATATAATACATCAAAAAAGGTCCAGCGATTTTATAGTGACTCATTCATTGATTAGCAGAGGTATGGGATAGGTGACCTTTTGTACCGTTCAGTTCTCGACTTTGGGATTGTCGATTGTTGATTTTGGCTGCGGGTGTTCCCGTCGCTGTGATGACAACTCTTACGGTTGTAGATAGAAGAACTTCAGTGCATTGCTCCCCTCATGTGGGGTCGTCATTAGTTACCACAGCCACAAAATCATAAAACCTGCCTATTTCTACAATTTCTCTTAAAATGTGATTTTAAACCTACCCCTAACCCTAACCACATTGCTAACCTTATGCCTAACCCTAACCTTAAGTTAAGACCAAAAAGCTCATTTTTGTTTTCTATACGTTTTACGATGTAGCGAATTTAGACTTTGTGGCTGTGGTAAATAGTGGAGACCTCTCTTGATATTGTTGTATGTACTGTTGTCCAAGATATGGAAGGGCTCATCCCAAAGACAGACTGCAGGCTTAGGCCAGACATACGAGCCATGGAGAACGGAGATATTGGTAAGAATCATCAGGGGCGCAACTTTCACTGAGGACAGGGGAGACATGTTCCCCCCACATTCTGAAATTGCATTTTTGTCCCCCCCAGTTTTATCATTGTAATGTGATAAAAAACAGGGCAACTGTATGCTTTAGGACCATGCGGACACCTCAGAGCGGTCGGGTAGGCTGTTTGGAGTGTTTATCCGACTGGATTAAAAATATATATATATCAAAAGTTATGTCCCCCCACTTCTAAAACCAAAGTTGCACCCCTGAGAATCATGATGAGTGATTGTGTCTCATCTGCAAACAGTTGGTTTCCTTGAACACACAGTTGATCTAAGCTAGATCAGTGAAAACCCTGTTTTCTCCTTGTTGTAGATCTTGCAAGTGAGGAGAAGAAGAGGCTAGAAGAGAAACAGAGAGCTGCATGCAAAACACATTCCAAATCTGATGACAAGTGGAAAACAAAGTAAGACAATGAGAGAAATACTGTTAATAATGTTCTGACAATTGAATTTATGTTATAGTGTCTATGTATTGTACAGCAATACACCCATATATTTGGAAATAAAAGCGTTTTTTTTTTAAAGATAAAAAAGGTATCCCTTCATTTATATGGAGGACTAAAAGTGCCACAATTAAATAAATAAATACACCATTAAATAATTACTTAAATGTGTCATTAATTAATTCAAATTAGAATTAAATACATAAATGTGTTATTAAATGTGTCATTAATTAATTCAAATACCGATTCATTTTATGTAAAATACATATATAATAATTTCACTATTTACATTTACATTTCATGGTCCTGCGTTGGAGTGCTTCCTGAATTACTTAAAACTGTCAAACTGACCCATCAAAAGTTGGTAGGCGGAACCTAACGCCTGATTGGTTACCCTCTGCATCAAGCCAAGACAAATCAATTCCGGATAATGTCAGCAGGTCCTGCTTCTACATCCTCTGCTAAGTTTAAAATGTCTCTAACCAACTCCCTGGAAAGTTCACGGAGATCCTCCATTGTCTCTATCCAGGTTGGCCTACTCTACTTCAGACCAAAGCAATGGATCAGACTAGATTCGCGTTAGCCCCGCCCACTGACTTTGATGGGTCAGTTTGACAGTTTTAAGTAATTCATGAATCACTGCAATGCAGGATCATGAAATGTAAATGTAAATAGTGAAATAATTATATATGTATTTTACATAAAATGAATCGGTATTTGAATTAATTAATGATACATTTAATTACACATTTATGTATTTAATTATAATTTGAATTAATTAATGACACATTTAAGTAATTATTTAATGGTGTATTTATTTATTTAATTGTGGCACTTTTAGTCCTCCATACATTTAATGCATGTCTCTATTTGTATTTGGTTTACTGCTTTATAACAATGCAAAGTCCTACTTTTCTCTTCCATTGTCTTGTTCTCTGTGTTGCACCTTTGCTTTGATGTGAAGAAACCCTGCCCTCGGCCCCAGGTTTGAGTTGCTTGCTCTTCTATTTTGTGCCTTACATGTGCTCTCCACTGTCACACTGTTGTGTGGTAGCTCCATCTACTGGTGCTAATACATACTGTGTTCTGATCTCTGAAATTCAGTTAGTGGCCCAAATGAAAATAATTGCATACATACCCACCGTCCATCTTATTGCATATAACCAATGTCTTTATAGACATACTGTTTATTCATGCATGCATTGCTTTATGTTATGTAGATACTAACTTTCATCCATAGAATGACATGATGAAAGCCTGAACCCCGCCCATGCTCACGGTATCCCTCCTGTGTCTCCAGGTGGTTTCAACAGGGTCAGAATCCCCACAATGGCTCCCAGGACTGGTTGTTCTCCACTGGGTACTGGAACCGCAACTTTCCCCTGTTACCTGATATTTACTAATAGACATTCATTCCTTGAATAGTGAGATTGATTCTTATCAACGTCAACTTCCTTATCTATCATATGATTCCATTCCACTAATTAATTAATAAAAAAGAGACCAGCTAATTACAGACAATATGCAAATAGGAGATGAATACAGTAAAGCCTTAATTTATTACAATGAATACACTGTGAAAGAAAATAGCAATAATAGATGTATTTGTGATACAAAATATTCAGCTGTTAAACATGCTTGATATGAATGTAGCATTCATATTAGGTCATATTTTCCATGCAGTCATCATTTTATTATTACTATTTAGCATAAATGGATCTGTGTGTTCACTCCATTGTAGCTTGGTTGACAGGGGTTCATGGTTTGAGTCGCTGTTTTCTTTTAACTCTTCATGGTGCAGTATTTTGATTGTGTATACTGTAATCCGTCATTACTGTATGCCATTTGCACAACCTTGCTCCCTTGATACCATAGGAACAAACAGTATCCACACATTCAATCTGTTGCTCTTAATGTAATGTACAGCTGTTTTGTGGCCACAACTTTATTTCATGTTTCTGTTACAAAAAAAGAAGTGCACTCACACATAATGTACACATAACCACACTGTGGTTGGGATTTATTAGTTAGTTTATAACACTTGAATTGCTGATATTTGAATGTGTTATCCCACAGTTCTGCTGTTACTGATATATAATTCTGACTACTTGTCTTTTATTTTCTTTGTTTATCCATCCATGCTCACATTAATTTGGGAAGTCACTGATTGACTGATGCTATACAGTATAACATGGTTGATTGTTAATATTTGTATGAACATCAAGGTCATTTGCTCCATTGATTGTAGGATAAAAAAATACCTGTACAATGCATAGTATTGAATGTTACAATGCCTCTTAGATGATTTGATCTACACTACTTCAAAATCTGCTCATGTCAATCATTGCGGGAGAAAATGAACTGCTTACCTTTTACATTCGTCTATTCAACTGTGAAGAGGTCCTATAGGTCGTGTCATAATAGAGAATAATCAAAGGTTTGGACTGTTGATATGATTTTAACAATAAGTCTAGTGTAATTTGGTAGAGATATATTGTGTCATGGTTACAGAAGAAAAAAAACTTGGTAACATGGTTATCTGGAATATGAGAAAATGTATGGCAAGGTAGTACAATCAAATTATTAATCTGACCCTTTAATTTAGTTACATAGTTATAGGCCTATTTTTTATTTACTATGTAAAATAAAAATGCAAACAAGTATCTACATTTTTTCTCTACAATATGAAATGCCTTTTACTTTTGGCATGGCTCTGGCCTGGTGGTCACGAGTTCCATACAGAACATTAAGAAGAGTGTTTTGTTCACATGTTTTATTGATGATAGAAATCCATGTAGCCATCACAAGTAGGCTGATCCACATTGGTGCAAGCCACAACAAGGTTTACTTAAAGCTACCCATTTGAAGGGGGCACTAAGACGCCTGTGCACCCTCCTTCCTTCCTCAGCTTCCATCACATAGTGGAATGGCACGTAGGCGGCGGAGTGGACAGGTCTCATGGCTTTTTGCACGGAGTGGTCATCCATCGGTACATAGACAAGAACGTATTACATTGCTGACCTCGGCTGCAAAGGCAGGCCATAGGAATCACTGTCTGTTGGATAGTTGCTGCTTGACATCAGGGTAGGGGGAACGCATCATCGCCTGGTCACTGCAGGGCCCTCATTCCAGCAATTAGTTGCTGTCGAAGTCCGATAGGATTTGATTTGTGTCTGCTGCTGCAAACGACCAGTAGTGTGAGGCTTCACCATTACGCACCGTGGCACATGTATTGCAAGAGGCACGGTGCTCTCTGCAGCGCAGTGGCACGGGTTTATTTGAGGTTGACAAACAGGCGAGTAGTCGTATGCGCACTGATGGTGCAGTAGACCTGGGTGGTGGGTCGGTAATCCGTGGTGGTAACTGTAGTCTTGTGATGTAGGATAGTGGCAGGTGCACTCTTGATGATACCTTCGCTGAGCACAACAGCATGGCACATGATATTGTATTGGAACTAATACTTTTCCATGACTCTCGCCCTTTCTGATACGTTGACCTCTCCATGCTTCGTCGTCGTGGCTGTAGTCATGGTTTGTTTCTGGTGACACTTCATAATCTCTTTGGTGCTCAGTATCTTGATAGCCTGACAGACAAAACAATGATGAAACATCACCAGCCTATTTTATTATGCCATATTTTTATACTGCTGCTCTGATTTATGTATTTAAAAAACAAAAACATGTTTAATTGATCATTCATGGCAAGAAGACAGTAAGTAAATATTTCGAAATACCTTGATCAGAATGGACAACTGCTGCAGCATTGAGTGAGCATCTCTCATTCTTGCGCCCTGAAGGTCTCGCTGCTGAGCTCCGCATGAAGGATTCCCCTGGCACTTGCGCCCAAGCATCGATCCAAACTCTTCTTCAGCTCTTCAATGCCCCATTCAAAAAATACAGAACTAAGAACAGATATAGCCCCTGGTTCTCCTCAGACTTGACTGCCCTTGACCAGCACAAAAACATCCTGTGGCGTACTGCATTAGCATCAAATAGCCCCCGCGATATGCAACTTTTCAGGGAAGTTAGGAACAAATATACACAAGCAGTTAGGAAAGCAAAGGCTAACTTTTTCAAACAGAAATTTGCATCCTGTAGCACTAACTCCAAAAAGTTTTGGGACACTGTAAAGTCCATGGAGAATAAGAGCACCTCCTCCCAGCTGCCCACTGCACTGAGGCTAGGAAACACTATCACCACCAATAAATCTACAATAATCGAGAATTTCCACAAGCATTTGCTACAGCTGGCCATGCTTTCCACCTGGCTACCACTAATATATAATAATATATTACCCCGGCCACCAGCTCTGCACCCTCCGCTGCAACTTGTTCTGAAAGAGCTGCAAAATCTGGACCCCGACAAATCATCTGGGCTAGACAATCTGGACCCTTTCTTTCTAAAACTAGCCGCCGAAATTGTCGCAACCCCTATTACTAGCCTGTTCAACCTCTCTTTCGTAACGTCTGAGATCCCCAGAGATTGGAAAGCTGCCGCGGTCATCCTCCTCTTCAAAGGGGGTGACACTCTAGATCCAAACTGTTACAGACCTATATCCATCCTGCCCTGCCTTTTGAAAGTTTTTGAAAGCCAAGTTAACAAACAGATCACCGACCATTTCGAATCCCACCGTACCTTCTCCGCTATTCAATCCGGTTTCCGAGCTGGTCATGGGTGCACCTCAGCCACGCTCAAGGTCCTAAACGATATTATAACCGCGATCGATAATAGACAGTACTGTGCAGCCGTCTTCATCGACCTGGCCAAGGCTTTCGACTCTGTCAACCACCGCAATCTTATTGGCAGACTAAATAGCCTTGGTTTCTCAAATGACTGCCTCGCCTGGTTCACCAACTACTTCTCAGATAGAGTTCAGTGTGTCAAATCGGAGGGCCTGTTGTCTGGACCTATGGCAGTCTCTATGGGGGTGCCACAGGGTTCAATTCTTGGGCCGACTCTTTTCTCCATGTATATCAATGATGTCGCTCTTGCTGCTGGTGACTCTCAGATCCACCTCTACGCAGACGACACCATTTTGTATACATCTGGCCCTTCATTGGACACTTTGTTAACAAACCTCCAAACGAGCTTCATTGCCATACAACACTCCTTCAGTAGCCTCCAACTGCTCTTAAACACTAGTAAAACTAAATGCATGCTCTTCAATTGAACACTGCTGGCACCCACCCACCCGACTAGAATCACTACTCTCGACGGGTCTGACCTAGAGTATGTGGACAACTACAAATACCTAGGTGTCTGGTTAGACCGTAAACTCTCCTTCCAGACTCACATTAAGCATCTCCAATCCAAAGTTAAATCTAGAATCGGCTTCCTATTTTGCAACAAAGCCTTCTTCACTCATGCTGCTAAACATGCCCTCGTAAAACTGACTTTCCTACCGATCCTTGACTTCAGTGATGTCATTTACAAAATAGCCTCCAACACTCTACTCAGCAAATTGGATGTAGTCTATCACAGTGCCATCCATTTTGTCATCAAAGCCCCATATACTACCCACCACTGTGACCTGTACGCTCTTGTTGGCTGGTCCTCACTACATATTTGTTGCCAAACCCACTGGCTCCAGGCCATCTATAAATCACTGCTAGGCAAATCCCTGCCTTATCTTAGCTCATTGGTCACCATAGCAACACCCACCCGTAGTATGCGCTCCAGCAGGTATATCTCACTGGTCATCCCCAAAGCCAACACCTCCTTTGGCCGCCATTCCTTCCAGTTCTCTGCTGCCAATGACTGGAACGAATTGCAAAAATCTCTAAAGCTGGAGACTCTTATCTCCCTCACTAACTTTAAGCATCAGTTGTCAGAGCACCTTACCGATCACTGCACCTGTACACAGCCCATCTGAAATTAGCCCACCCAACTACCTCATCCCCATATTGTTATTTATTTTGCTCATTTGCACCCCAGTATCTCTAATTGCACATAATCTCTTGCACATCTATCATTCCAGTGTTAATACTAATTGTAATTATTTTGCACTATAGCCTCTTTACTGCCTTACCTCCATAACTTGCTACATTTGCACACACTGTATATATATTTTCTGTTGTATTTTTGACTTTATGTTTTGTTTTACCCCATATGTAACTCTGTGTTGTTGTTTTTATCGCACTGCTTTGCTTTATCTTGGCCAGGTCGCAGTTGTAAATGAGAACTTGTTCTCAACTGGCTTACCTGGTTAAATAAAGGTGAAATAAAATAAAAATATTAGTGATGGATTTTATTGTTAACCCTTGTCCTTAAAAACTCTTAATTCTAAGCTGGTTTGCTGCTCAATTCTACAAGAGTAATTATATTGAGCAAAACACAATTTTATTGTCATCATCTGATTATAGACAAATAGATGCCATGAGTTATAATAATCAAACATAGATTTATTGGTAAATGAAAAACCGGCATGGCAGTAATTATAATTAGCCTTATTCACAAAACACAATGTTATTGTCATCATCAGATGATAGCCGAACAGACCTCATAATGAGATATAGGCCTAATAATGAAGATTTATTGGTAATGAATAAAAAAACGGGTAAATTAATATCTGAGGTCAACATTTATTGTATTTTCATATTTAGGCTATAAGTGAAGTATTTGTTTTGTGTTTTGTTAAAATTCAAATGGCACAGTATGATTCTCTATCAAGAATAGAGTGGCTTTTAGCTCGCCCAGTCTTGTTTCACACAGTCGGGAACTGACCAATAAAAACGTGTTAAGAAACGGAAAAACAACACGCTCAATCAAAACTGTCTAACCAATTACAGAGCGCTGGTGTAATGCATATCGTTGTTGATCCTCCCACCTTTGTTGACGCGTTCACTTTCAGACACACACACACACACACACGTATGCATTTACATTTGACATTTTAGTCATTTAGCAAACGCTCTTATCCAGAGCGACTTACAGTTAGTGAGTGCGTACATTTTTCATATGCAGTTACCAATACTTGAAACAATGCGTTATTCTTCTGAGATAGACCTACCAGATAATGAATTCGTTTACTTTTCAACTCTTCAATATTTTCCAATAAAATAAAAACGACTGATTGTCGATGTGAGTGATTATTATGCTTTTTTATTTTACATTATATGAATTCTTCCAGTATCCAGATGGTAAACTAAACCGTGCCCCGGAAGTATAAGGTTGTAGTGTTTCTCGGTCACGCGCAGCGACTGTGGAACCTGTGTCCATGTGGAAAAGTTGAAGTGTTGCTCGTAGCGAACTGTTACAGAAAATTAGGCAAAGTGAGTATGAGTTACTGTAATTGTCAGTCCATCTTTGAGCTGTTTATAAATTCTAAGTATTTTACTAAGCGAGGTTCAGCGTGGATATGACTTTAGCAAGCTAGCCATGTTATCAAAACTAGCTAGCTAGTTCAAGTATGGGTAGCTGCCAGGGTAGCCGTGTTCACCTCAAATGTATAGCCCAAAGACTAGGGGTGTGCCGACATGGCCATACTCGTCGTAATCGTATTTGTAAATTGACAGGTGATAGTCGGATCGGATGATACTCATGATTGGAAAAAGCGGAAGTATTTTAATATGCCTAAATAGATGTTGGAAAAATACCTCCCTGCACATTCTTTCTACAAAAAGAGCTGCAGATTAGGAGTAGCGCGCGGAGGGGTGCGTGTACTCAATTTGCAGTGGACAGCCACATTTGTTTTCACTCAGTCAGAATGGGCATCAGCGTTTAATCTTTTTTTCCCTAACCTTGCCCCGTATGTTAGATATTATGCACATTGATAGCTTGATAGCAAACGTCCTCACCATGTCATTTATCATAGTAGCAGGCAGCAGCAATCGAAATGATCAGACTGAAAAATGCTTGGGTGAAATTATGAAGCGAGTGGACGGAGAAATACAGCTTCACTCTATCCAATCAGAGCGGCATGATCAACGTACAGCCCGCCCTTCTATTTACAGACAGCCACTTGAGTTATTTAGCCCAAGTAGAACCTCGCACATGACCTGACTAACATGAGAAAGATGCATGCTGGCACCGACTACTTGGCACACCCCTACCAAAGACCACTCAAAACCCATCCACAAGGCCTGAAAACTAGGCCCAAATAGTTTTTTCCCCAGCAAGAAAGGAGTTGACATATTTATCCAATAAACTCTTTTTCCATAACGTTATTGAGCGAATTAAGGAATATTGAAGGAACTTGTAAGACATAAATTCGGGTTTCAAAAAAATAATTATTGAGAGGTAACTTCATGTAATAGAGGTGCTGGTAGAAATGAGGTAAAACTGATTTAAGTTTCCCTGCATTAAAGTCCCCGGCCACTAGGAGCGCTGCCTCTGGATGAGCGTTTTCCTGTTTGCTTATGGCCTTATGCAGCTTATTCGAGTGCAGTCTTAGTGCCAGCATTGGTTTGTGGTGGTAAATGGACAGCTATGAAGAATATAGATAGTGTGGTTTACAGCTTATCATGTGATACTCTACCTCAGGCGAGCAAAACCTTGAGACTTCCTTAGATATCGTGCACCAGCTGTTGTTTTTCAAATATACATAGACCCTTGTCTTACCAGAGGCTGCTGTTCTATCCTGCCGATACAGTGTATAACCCGCCAGCTGTATGTTATTCATGTCGTCGTTCAGCCACGACTCGGTGAAACATAAGATATTACAGTTTTTAATGTCCCGTTTGTAGGATATACCTGCATGTAGTTCGTCCACTTTATTATCAAGCGATTGTACGTTGGCCAAGAGTGCTGATGGCAAAGGCAGATTAGCCACTCGTCGCCGGCTCCTTACCAGGCACCCCAATCTCCTTCCGCAATATCTTCGTCTCTTTCTACTGCGAATGACGGGGATGAGGGCCCTATCGGGTGTCTGGATCAAATCCCTCTCATCCGACTCATTAACTAAAAATTATTAGTCCAGTTCAAGGTGAGTAATGGCTGTTCTGATGTCCAGAAGCTCTTTTCGGTCATAAGAGATGCCCTACTCTCTGTTTATTATCTATGCATAGTCACTTTAATAATAATAATACATGTACATATTACCTCAATTACCTCGACTAACCGGTGCCCCTGCACATTGACTCGCGGTACCCCCTGTATATAGCCTCGCTATTGTTATTTTACTGCTGCTCTTTAATTATTTGTTACTTTTGTAACTTTTTTTTTATAGGTATTATTTCTTAAAACTGCATTGTTGGTTAAGGGCTTGTAAGTAAGCGTTTCACTGTAAGGTCTACACCTGTTGTATTCGGCACATGTGACAAATACGATTTGATTTGAATTGACATATGTCAATAGCGTGCAGCTACATACAAATGTTGGGCTATATGTTTTGATTTGTGGCCGTAATGCCCCCTAGAAAAAATACATTCCTTTTGCGGCCAGTGGCCGTTGTGCCCTTAGGCTGAATATAATAATTATATACTGAACAAAAATATAAACGCAACATGCAACAATTTCAAATATTTGACTGAGTTACAGTTCATAGAAGGAAATCGGCGTGGTTACATGTGGTCTGCGGTTGTGAGGCCGGTTGGATGTACTGCCAAATTCTCGTGTTGCGTTTATATTTTTGTTCAGTATAATTCCCTTCTCTCGGCTTCGTGCTCCAAAGCACTTCTCACTCACATGGCTCTCTCGGATATCTCAATTCTTATTAGTCCAATGCCTGTCACGTGATTTGGCCCTTCTCACATCTCAGCTCCGAAGTAGGCTACAAGTGAAGACAGACAAATCGGGGACGCAACTGCTCGCGTCCTTCTTAAAGATTTCCGAGGCACATATTGAAGATGTTGGAAGAGCTGTCCACATTTACTTTCGTCAGCCAACAAGATGATGATAATAATAATATGCCATTTAGCAGACGCTTTTATCCAAAGCAACTTAGTCATGTGTGCATAGATTTTTATGTATGGGTGGTCCCAGGGATCGAACCCACTACCCTGGCGGTACAAGCGCCATGCTCTACCAATTGAGCTACAGAGGACCACAATGAATAGGCCTAACGAACAGCAAAAGCACTAGCCTATGTCAATGTACTATCCCCCATAGTACAAAAGTTGACCTATTCTATTGGCCAACTTGTCCTTCTGTGCGATTTTTAAATAAATATTCAAAATAGTCTGGGACAGTTGTCGGATGTGATAGATCCCAAATTAAAACAACCACTAGCATCAAGAAAACTAATGCTGATGCAACATATCAGAACTATTAGGCTATTTCTTCACATTATGCGCACAAGACAGTAGGCTATAAGCACGAATATTCCAAAATGCAATAAATTAGTGGGAAAACACCATTCTCAAAAGTAACCGCAAATGCGATTATGCATGTAATGCTTTATTATAAAGGAGCATTTTTATGGTGAAAATTATCTTCCCCAAACTTGAAACTCACGCGCCGCCTATGTATGCCAGTTAGGCTCTACACCGGTTGTAAAGCTGATTAATGTGCTTAATTTTGAGAAGTTATTTGGCCACTTAAGTTGTGATACAAACCTTATTAAAACATATAGGCCTATGGGCTAGGCTACATGAGGTGTGTGACTATGATTTGAAAAAGTAGCACACAAAAAAGGCATGCGCTGTTTCTTTCCTTAATGCACACAAGCTGGGCGTCATTCACAAGTAATAGGCTAATATTGGCACCCCATCACACTATTCTTGATTTAATCTTGTCTTTACATATACTATATAATATATGTGTGAAATTTGTTTTGATTTAGAATGGACCATTATCATGCACCTATCTCGAAACAGGGGCAGGGGAAAATAATACAATCTATGCACTTAAATAGCGAATGGAGGACGCTTTTCCCGTGGTTTATTTTCATGCCAGCCAGGTAGGCTATACTCCTGTTGTAAAGAGAAGCAATGTGCTTAATATTAGCAAAGATGAGAAATAAATATAGTAGGCCTAGCCTATAGAAATTTGATGGGATCCTCCTCTTTTTAATAGAGGCCATCAAAACTCTGTTTTATCACTTAATTGCATAGCCTATAGAAATGAGCTCATGGGCTCTCGTGAAGTGTTCGATTCGATTAGAGGGACAATAGAGTGCTGAGTACCAGGCAGTTAGCAAGTTTGGTAGCCTACTAATGACCAGCAGCATCAGAGCTTGGAGAAGCCTAGTTACCGTCACTTGGAATTTGACTGCGGTCGACCGCCGGTGTGGCGGGAATACGGTCACACCGTAATAGCCCTAATTCTGACTACAGCTGATCGGTAATTGCGATAGAGCTGTGACCATGATCACGATTGATAACTTCCTATTTAATTAACTAAACATTGTCATTAGTAATTGTATAATAACACAAGGCTACAACAACAATAAACTGACATTATAGGCTATTTATTAAATCCATTTGCAAGCTCCAGGTAGGCTACACAAGTGGCACAAATTGATATGGAATGACTCCAGTGATATTGTCATTTCAACATATTTATTGTATCAAATGGTAGGCTACAGTAGCCTACAATGGCATAGAAATTAATAGGCTACTTGATGGCCAACAGATGCAAATTTATCACATTTAATGTCAGTTTCATTGTGGACCTTTCCCCCCATAACAGAAGCATGCGAGGGAGTTCCTTAACTTCCATTTCAAATTTCCACTCGCACATCGAGCATGCGTAAAACCCTTTGCTTGATACGGTTTTCCATAAGCAAAGTCGACATTAGAATGCACTTTAAACCACCACCGAGCGAATTTATCTAATGCGCTCTAGTGCGCCTAAAGTCGTTTTCCAGTGCTTTGTCAACGTTATGTCTTGATGTGCATCAGTTCTAGCGGGTTAATGTTTTATGGAAAAAGGGTTGGAAATAGGTGTCTCCATAATCACAATAGCCTACCTACAACTGGTAAAAAGTTGTTGCGTGCGTGCGTGCGTGCGTGCTGCTCTGTCCCCTCTCACTCACCTGACTCAGCTGCCTGCTGCAGCACTCTCTCAACACACACGGCCCTCACCACTCACTCATCAACAGCCTGCTCACTGCCTGATAGTCAGAAGCAGCAGGTCACAGTGACTTAAAAGAGAAATGCCATGGCGGTCGCAGTGCAATTTAGAAGTAGCCCAAAAACCTTCCACCTCAAAGTAACCCAATTGCGGGAAATCCGTGGACATGGCAACCCTGGTAGCTGCAGCCCAATATGGCGACAGGTGTATGGGCGAGTGGGTGTGTCGAAAGGAGTGTGTATGGAAAGCGAATCAGCTAATTGGACAGATTTGTTGCCCCTCAAGAACGTTTGGCGTGGCTGAGTGGGCTGCACGATGAGATAAGCCGACGACGACTAGTGCATCAGTGTTGTATCGAGTGCTTCCTACTGGGTATCACGGTTGTGTCGCCGGTGGTAGCTAATGTGGCCATTTCAGATTTTCTTTCAAGTAGGATAGCAGCCTACACAATAAATAACTAATGTTGATTACCATCTATACTTAACACAAATAAATGCAACATGAAAAGTGTTAGTCCCATCTTTCATGTGCTGAAATAAAAGATTAGCACAAAAGGCTTATTTCTCTCAAATTTTGTGCACAAATTTGTTGACATCCCTGTTAGTGAGCATTTCTCCTTAGCCAAGATAATCCATCCACCTGACAGGTGTGGCATATTAAGAAGCTGATTAATCAGCATGATAATTACAGAGGTGCCCCTTGTTCTGGGGACAATAAAAGGCCCTCTAAAATGTGCAGTTTTCTCACACAACACAATGCCACAGATGTTTTGAGGGAGTGTGCAATTGGCATTGTGACTGCAGGAATGTCCACCATTTAATGTTCATTTCTCTACCATAAGCCGCCTCCAATATCGTTTTAGAGAATTTGACAGTACATGCAACCGGCCTCACGACCGCAGACCACGTGTAACCACGCCAGCCGAGGACCTCCACATCCGGCTTCTTCACCTGCGGGATAGTCTAAGGAGGTGGAGGGGGGTGCTGAGGAGTATTTCTGTCTGTAATGAAAACCCTTTTGTGGGGAAAAACTAATTCTGATTGGCTGGGCCTGGCTCCCCAGTGGAAAACCTGGCTCCCAAGTGGGTGGGCCTATGCCCTCCCAGGCCTACCCATGGATTTCAATTAACTGATTTCTTTGCATTTATATACACTGCTCAAAAAAATAAAGGGAACACTAAAATAACACATCCTAGATCTGAATGAATGAAATAATCTTATTAAATACTTTTTTCTTTACATAGTTGAATGTGCTGACAACAAAATCACACAAAAAGTATCAATGGAAATCAAATTTATCAACCCATGGAGGTCTGGATTTGGAGTCACCCTCAAAATTAAAGTGGAAAACCACACTACAGGCTGATCCAACTTTGATGTAATGTCCTTAAAACAAGTCAAAATGAGGCTCAGTAGTGTGTGTGGCCTCCATGTGCCTGTATGACCTCCCTACAACGCCTGGGCATGCTCCTGATGAGGTGGCGGATGGTCTCCTGAGGGATCTCCTCCCAGACCTGGACTAAAGCATCCGCCAACTCCTGGACAGTCTGTGGTGCAACGTGGCATTGGTGGATGGAGCGAGACATGATGTCCCAGATGTGCTCAATTGGATTCAGGTCTGGGGAACGGGCGGGCCAGTCCATAGCATCAATGCCTTCCTCTTGCAGGAACTGCTGACACACTCCAGCCACATGAGGTCTAGCATTGTCTTGCATTAGGAGGAACCCAGGGCCAACCGCACCAGCATATGGTCTCACAAGGGGTCTGAGGATCTCATCTCGGTACCTAATGGCAGTCAGGCTACCTCTGGCGAGCACATGGAGGGCTGTGCGGCCCCCCAAAGAAATGCCACCCCACACCATGACTGACCCACCGCCAAACCGGTCATGCTGGAGGATGTTGCAGGCAGCAGAACGTTCTCCACGGCGTCTCCAGACTCTGTCACATGTGCTCAGTGTGAACCTGCTTTCATCTGTGAAGAGCACAGGGTGCCAGTGGCGAATTTGCCAATCTTGGTGTTCTCTGGCAAATGCCAAACGTCCTGCACAGTGTTGGGCTGTAAGCACAACCCCCACCTGTGGACGTCGGGCCCTCATACCACCCTCATGGAGTCTGTTTCTGACCGTTTGAGCAGACACATGCACATTTGTGGCCTGCTGGAGGTCAGGTAGTGGGTTCGATCCCCGGGACCACCCATACACAAAAGAAATGTATGCACGCATGACTGTAAGTCGCTTTGGATAAAAGCGTCTGCTAAATGGCTTATATATATATATATATATATATATATTTTGCAGTGCTCCTCCTGCTCCTCCTTGCACAAAGGCGGAGGTAGCAGTCCTGCTGCTGGGTTGTTGCCCTCCTACGGCCTCCTCCACGTCTCCTGATGTACTGGCCTGTCTCCTGGTAGCGCCTCCATGCTCTGGACACTACGCTGACAGACACAGCAAACCTTCTTGCCACAGCTCGCATTGATGTGCCATCCTGGATGAGCTGCACTACCTGAGCCACTTGTGTGGGTTGTAGACTCCGTCTCATGCTACCACTAGAGTGAAAGCACCGCCAGCATTCAAAAGTGACCAAAACATCAGCCAGGAAGCATAGGAACTGTGAAGTGGTCTGTGGTCACCACCTGCAAAACCCGTCCTTTATTGGGGGTGTCTTCAAATTGCCTATAATTTACCACCTGTTGTCTATTCCATTTGCACAACAGCATGTGAAATGTATTGTCAATCAGTGTTGCTTCCTAAGTGGACAGTTTGATTTCACATAAGTGTGATTGACTTGGAGTTACATTGTGTTGTTTAAGTGTTCCCTTTATTTTTTTTAGCAGTGTATTTTTCCAGTATAGATGTCACCTTGATACATACATAGTCTACTACTAAATGGGGAGGGCATGAAAGGCAACAACACAGTGCCCTTCGCTCCGACTTCCGGCAACGGCATGGGAAGTAGCTACCTAGTAGTCAATATCAGGGTGACAGTCACAATAAGCACATGCATACAACGCATGAAGCAACAGTCGTCAATACCAATCGTCAGTTTTATAACTGAAAATGTACAATTGTTTGTATAAAACTAACAGTGAAATATGATTCAGACTCATCCTCTGGCTTAAAAACAGAAGTCCAAACTCTCGCGGTATTGTAACTCAATGTACGGTAGTGCCTGGTAAGAAACGGAAGGAAAAACAACACCTAACACAATCAAAACAGTCTAACCTACACGTCCACTACTTTCCTTTTGACACACCCACTCGCCCACACTCCGGTCGCCTTATTGGAATGCAGCTAGTTTTGTAACTGTGAAGCTAGCTAGGCTGCTAGCCTGAGACTAGCTCTCGAGAACCCAATGTAATGGAATTGGAGTCGTGATAATGGCAAGCCTGAGACTCCTAGCTAATGTGAACCAACAACGCAGCAGTCTAGCTTTTTTACTACAGTCTAAATATTTTATGTATTGGATTCAGTGTTTATTACCACTTCATTCACATCCTCACTGTATCTGGACTTCTCTCCCTTTCCAGATTTAGTAGCTACACCATTATTCTCAGCATGGCAAGTGAGCAGGAGGTGGCTGCAGTCGGCAAGATTCTTGTCAACCCAAAGCAGGACCTAACAACACGGTTCAGAGCTCTCTTCACCCTGCGTAACCTGGGCGGACCAGAGGCCATCGAATGGATCAGTCAGACTTTTGTTGATGACTCTGCTCTGTTGAAACATGAGCTGGCATACTGCCTGGGCCAAATGCAGGATGAGAGGGCCATCCCCACGCTAGAAACTGTTCTAAAAGACACAACACAGGAGCCTATGGTCAGGCATGAAGCAGGTCAGTATGCCAGCTCATGAGTCCACTCTCATTCATACATACTGTATTCATAAACATGTTCACAGATAATGATAATAATAGTGCTTATATAAACAGTGGACTCTTTTTTTATTTATTTAGGGGAAGCATTAGGAGCTATTGGGAACATCAAGGTCCTTGACTTACTGAAAGAGTACTCAGAGGACCCAGTCATCGAGGTATGGTAAAACGAGGCATATTGGAGATAAATAGAAGTAGTGTAGAGAATATGTGGAAATGAAACATCACACAGCACTTGCAGTTAGTCATATTGTCAATGACCAGTACAGTGCCTGTATAGTGGTTATTACAGGACTGTCGTTCTCCACCAGGTGGCAGAGACGTGCCAGTTGGCTGTTAGGCGGCTGGAGTGGCTGATATCTGGTGGGGACCAGAAAGGAGAGAAGGGCACCGATGGAAACCCCTACTGTTCTGTGGACCCTGCTCCCCCAGCCCAGAGGAAGACTGTCCATGAGCTGAGGACACAGCTCCTGGATGAGAGCCTACCACTGTTTGAGCGCTACAGGGCCATGTTCGCCCTCCGCAACCTGGGCACAGAGGAGGCTGTCCTGGCTCTAGGAGATGGTGAGAGACTGGCAGTCATTCTTAAACTATGCGGTCTATGGCAATGGGCAATAAAGGATCGAATTGGTAACATGCAGAGGGGCTTATTTTTGGCCAAATGTGGAGCCAGCCACATAATTGTTATTTGCATAAGCTAATTTTCTTGTCCTGAATCATCGTCATTGCATAACCCTCCACTATCAGCGTCTCTGAACACCAACACTCACTCAGCCCTTTGTTGTCCTGCCACCCAGGTCTTCAGTGTAGCAGTGCCTTGTTCCGCCATGAGATCGGCTACGTCTTGGGTCAGATCCAGCACCCAGCCAGCATCCCCCAGCTGCAGGCAGCCCTGGAGCTGGACGGGGAGAACGCCATGGTGAGACACGAGTGTGCCGAGGCCCTGGGATCCATCGGGAAGGAGGAGTGTATGAAGATCCTAGAGCGCTACAGGAAAGACACAGAGCGCGTGGTGAAGGAGAGCTGTGAGGTAGCCCTGGACATGCTGGAGTATGAGAACGGCACACAGTTCCAGTACGCTGACGGACTACTACGACTGCAGGGGGAGCAGTAAGGGCCAAACAGCAAGCATGGACACTAGGAGAACTGCTATACAGCACTATAAGAGCTTTCCACTGAGGTCATAACTCATGATCACTGAAACCCATTTTCACTTATTGAAACCATCTGACTCGCCTGTCATTATTAGCCTTAATGAGACAAGGCAGTGTAATAATTGTATTACAGTACATTCGAAGACCTGATTGTCAATCAAAGGTTGTTAATCCACTTTTCTGCTCTGTCGTATTCGCATAGATTTCTATCTCGACGCAAATAAAGACTTAGGGAACAACATTATGCTGTATTGTCTCAATAGTGTCGCTTAGCGCTACCATGGCAGTAGTACATCAGCTTTCATGTAGGCTTTTCCATAAGTTTGCCTGTGTTCTATTCCAGTCAGATGTGAGATCATGATGGCTCAGGGAGGTGTTGGATCAAGATGGCTAATCCACACAGCCACGCACACTCCGCCATCAGAGAAAATAATAATAGGGTCATATAAAATTGGAAATACTTTCCTTTCAGCTTTCTCATTCCCACTGAAACACATTGCTATCATCTGTCTTAACAAATTACAAATGGGATGAAAATGCAGAATTTACACTTAATAAGACGCTTTTATCCAAGGTAACTTAGTCATGCGTGCATACATTTTAATGTATGGGTGGCCCCAGTGGAATTAAACCCACGACCCTAGGCATTGCAAGCGCCATACTTTACTGCAGGGGTAGGCAACCCTGTTCCTGGAGTTCCGCAGATACTGAAGGATTTTGTTCCAACTAGGCACCACACCTGACCAACTGAGCTAATTGATCAGTTCAACACACCTGGTCTTCTAGGTTCGTTAAATCAAATACCTGAAGAGCCTGCGGAAGTCTAGGACCAGGGTTGCCTACCCCTGCTCTACCCGGTAGTGTATGGCGCTTGCAACGCCAAGGGTCGTGGGACCATTCCCGCTAGAGTCTACCGACTGAGCTACACAGGACCACTTAACAGTACAAACAGACCCCTTTCGTAACCCTGATCAAGGGAACACTTCTGTAAGTGTGGTGTGACGTGTTTACATCTTCAGTTGTGAGCTCTGTAGAGAGTGGGGACAGAAAGGCTGCTGTCAGCTCTTTGGAGGGATAGAGAATTAGCAGCGTGCTGAGAGGGAGGGCGACAGCTATAGTAAAATGGGGATGAAGGACCCACTCCTGTACACTAAACTTAGCTAAACACACAGCCGTGGAGACAGTGCCCAGAATTCCCTCAACCAGCCAACACCTCCGAGTCACCATGATGCACCCCATCATGATCGGCATCGTTATCGTCAACACCTCCATCACCGTCATCTACTGGATCTTCATCCTCACAGAGGCCTTCCATAGGAAGATCGAGGAAGAGGACAAACCTAAGGATAACCCTGCCTAAATGACTGACCTTACAGAGTTGTCCTGCTCAGAGTAGATAGCTTTTAGTGCTTCTGTGTGTCCTGTTTTGTCTGGTGGAACTGCTCAGTCCTCCACAGCTTCAGCACAGTGCTCCTGCCATTGGAGCACAGTTTTACACACAGGTAGTGCATCTCTTTGAAACTGATCAATAAATATATTTCTGGATATGATTAGCTGTATTTTTCTAACATAAGATATTTTACAAAGGGTTTTCTGACTCCCATTCATACAGGAAATGCTGTGACCTTGTCTTGACTCTGTGGCATTACAGTATTGAAGCTTATCTCTGGATTGGGTAGAGATTAAAGCATACACACATTGCTGAATGAAAAAAGCAGATATCTTGTGTGCAGATTCCAGGTTTTAGCAGATTGAACTCTCCTGAACCCTCCCTTTGTTCTGCTTGGGGTGTCATCTTATGGACACCAGATGATTCCTTACTACTGCTCACATAAGGAGAGGAAAACGCATCAAATACAGTCTTAGATCAGGGAAATGAATGGACTGAAGGGCAAACTCAACCAAAGGATTCTTTGTTTGCAGCTCAACCCAGCAAGGTATTTTACTATTTATTTTCCTCATTCTACAGTGTCAACATTTGTCATTTGTTTACTGGTGCTACATTTGTGTACTCAACATAGCCTGTTGATTATATGTATGATGTAGAATCATTTGGAAAGTAATTTTGTGCTCATTACACATCATCCAATATGTTTTAAATTATTTCTAATTGTATCCTTTATACTCTGGCAATTATATGATATGGTAATCAGTAATTGAACTTGTGGCCTGTATAGATGGAGAATGTTCTACTAAATTGATACCTATCTTTTTTGACACATCTAAAATACTTTCCAACCTAACCATGATTTGGCAGAAACCAGGACTATAATCGGTCATACTTCTAAGGACAAAGAAGAGTTGTCACCATAAATGATCTGTCAGAGAGAAAGGATGTCATCGACTACTCATGCACAGGAGGCTGCTGAGGGGAGGACGACTCATAATAATGGCTGGAACAGAGCGAATGGAATGGCATCAAACATATGGAAAACATTTGATGAATTCGATACCATTCCACTAATTCTGCTCCAGCCATTACCACAAGCCCGTCTTCCTCAATTAAGGTGCCAACAACCTCCTGTGTACTCATGGTCATACTCATTCACTCGTGCTTTCCCGCGTCATCCACAACCATCATCCTAGTCTGACAGGGAACACCCTTGAGGATTAATTAGATTTAGGTGTTGAAGGTTATGATGGACACAGAGGAGGGACTCTCGACCCTTCAGTACAGTTTCACTCAAAGCTCAGGATCATTAGAGTTACTTACCTGCTGCTGACTAGAGGGCCTCCAGTCCTCCCTGTCAGGCCACCCTCACACAGCAGAGACAGACAGCATGCTTCACCCCATCATGATTGGCATTCTCACTGCCAACACCTCCCTAACTATCATTCTCTGGAACTTCCTGTTGACTCAAGTTTTCTGCAGGAAGATCAAGGATGCACCCAACCCTGAGGAGGTCGTCCCAGTCTGAGTGAGCAATCTCTTCACTGACTAGACTAGAGAAATAAGGTTAATTTCTAGGCTTTGCTAGTGCTTTTGTTATGAGTATTCTGCTTTAATGCTGGGAGAGTGGCTCATGTAGTACTCACGTAATATTCTAGGCAGTGCTGATACAGCTGCTCCGTTTCATCCGTCTGGGAGAACTCTTTCTGCACTTTGGTTGCGTGAGCAAACTTCAACAGTGTTTTGACAGGTACTTAGACACCTCCACATTTAATCTTACAGTAACTGTTTAATTCCTGTGTCTGTTTCTTCATTCCTTCATTCCATCTCTCCCACCTCATTGAGACACATCTGGAGGGGAGTTGGTCTCTGGAAAGTCAGGACAGTGTCACACGATGATATTTCTGGACAAAGGAGGAATGCACAACTGCATGGTGGGATGGGCCAGAGCGTGAAATAAAGAGTTGCGCTGATTAATAGCACTTTAAGCCTCTTTGTCCAAAACTAAAGTCAGAACAAATCCTTTCCTGCAAACTGAAAATCCAGGCTGATTGAAGTTCAACATCACAAATAGCAACATATTCTCTGAAAATCAGACAGTCATTGTCAGATGACCACCACGTCCCTTCCTTACCCCTTAAATCACAACAGACGTCAGGGAAGTTCATTAGGGGAATGAAGTTGTCCTTCACAACAGATGTACTGTATTTTGAGAGTTTTTGCCTTCAAAAAGATACTGCTAACCCCCTTATTCTATCTTGTCTTACCAGCCATAAGGCTCGCTTAATATGAAGAATATGCCGGACTTGAGCCGCACAGACGAAGCCTTGGTTTGGTTCACTGTTCTTTTCTTTGTAAAAGAGTCTTTCCTCCAGATATCATTCCATGATGGTGTTTTTAACCAACAAGGTCAATTCATTCTCATATAACCCTAATCAACTTCCCCTTTCTACTAATTCAATTTGTGGATGGATTCCCCACATGACTGGAATGTTATGGCTAACTGTACCATGGAACCTCCAGGGGCCCAGACCCAGCCTACTGCCAAGTGGGGAGAGGTGTGGAACCGCCCCAGGACCTATAACCCAAGGCAGCACCTACAGGCCATGGAGAAGGACGATGATCTCTACTTTGCTGACTATGTCCCCTCCTCCCGTGATGCCTTCCACATGCCTCCTCATGTGCTCTATGTCATAGTGGGAGTGATAGTGGTAGTAGTGGCCTGCTATGGCATCCTAGGACACCTGATCAATGATCTGTACCATGACCTGGCAGGTAAAGTGGGTTGATCACATACCAACAGACGCACCACTGGTCATCGAGTAGGTCACCATAGATCTTAGGGCGGTTAGAGCGCTGGGCCAGTAACCCGAAGGTCACTGTTTTGATTACCTGAGCCGACAAGGTGAAAGATCTGTTGATGTGCTCTTGAGCAAGGCACTTAACACTAATTTGCTCCAGGGGTGCTGTACTACTATGGCTGACCCTGTGAAACAACACATTTCACTGCACCTAATTTAATTTTTATTTTATTGTGGTGAAATCCATCATTTTTTTGTGTGCTTGCAAATCATGTTCAAATGATCTTGACGGATGTCAGACCTCTGTGGTATTCTGCATGCTGTTAATCATGAGAGTATGTGAGGGTTGCCATCTATGAGTATGAGCATTAGGTTGTAGAGCTTTACTGTCATTGTTAGAACCAAATGTTTTTAGAATCCCCTTTATTACATGACACTGCCATGTGCTCCCCAATCACAAACATATGTTCTCTGACCCAGATACTAGACAGACAGACAGACATCTTTGGTTGGATTAATCAGATTAGTGTCCTTTCACTGTGGCTCCCATTGATACTGATCAGCTTTCACCTTCACACCTCGTAGCCTCAATTAGAAGCCATGGAACAGGCGTGTCAGCTGGATCTGTGGATTAAGAGGGCTAGTTAAGACTACTTTACAATCAAAACAAAAACATACAGTGCATTCATAAAATATTCAGACCCCTTGACTTTTTCCACATTTTGTTACATTACAGCCTTATTCTAAAATTGATTAAATAGTTTTTTCCCCTCATCAATCTACACACAATACCCCATAATGACAAAGTAAAAACAGCTCTCCTTTAAAAAACAGAAATATCAAATTTACATAAGTATTCAGACCCTTTACTCAGTACTTTGTTGTAGCACCTTTGGCAGCGATTACAGCCTCGAGTCTTCTTGGGTATGATGCTTCAAGCTTGTCACACCTGTTTTGGGGTAGTTTCGCCCATTCCTCTCTGCAGATCCTCTCAAGCTCTGTCAGGTTGGATGGGGAGCGTCGCTGCACAGCTATTTTCAGGTCTCTCCAGAGATGTTCGATCGGGTTCAAGTCCGGGCTCTGGCTGGGCCACTCCAGGACATTCAGAGACTTGTCCCAAAGCCACTCCTGCATTGTCTTGGCTGTGTGCTTAGGGTCGTTGTCCTGTTGGAAGGTGAACCTTGGCCCCAGTCTGAGGTCCTGAGCGCTCTGGAGCAGGTTTTCATCAAGGATCTCTCTGTACTTTGCTTCGTTCATCTATCCCTCGATCCTGACAAGTCTCCCAGTCCCTGCCGCTGAAAAACATCCCCACAGCATGATGCTGCCACCACCATGCTTCACCGTAGGGATGGTGCCAGGTTTCCTCCAGACGTGACGCTTGGCATTCAGGCCAAAGAGTTCAATCTTGTTTCTCGTGGTTTGAGAATCCTTTAGGTTCCTTTTGGCTAACTCCAAGTGAGCTGTCATGTGCCTTTTACTGAGGAGTGGCTTCCGTCTGGCCACTCTACCATAAAGGCCTGATTGGTGGAGTGCTGCAGAGATGGGTGTCCTTTTTGGAAGGTTCTCCAATCTTCACAGAGGAACTCTGGAGCTCTGTCAGAGTGACCATTGTGTTCTTGGTCACCTCCCTGACCAAGGCCCTTCTCCCCAGATTGCTCAGTTTGGCCGGGCGGCCAGCTCTAGGAAGAGTCTTGGTGGTTCCAATCTTCTTCCATTTAAGAATTTGGAGGCCACTGTGTTCTTGGGGACCTTCAATGCTGCAGAAATGTTTTGGTACCCTTCCCCAGATCTGTGCCTCGACACAATCCTGTCTCGGAGCTCTACGGACAATTCCTTCGACCTCATGGCTTGGTTTTTGCTATAACATGCACTTTCAACTGTGGGACCTTATATAGACAGGTGTGTGCCTTTCCAAATCATGTCCAATCAATTGAATTAACCATAGGTGGACTCCAATGAAGTTGTAGAAACATCTCAAGGATGATCAATGGAAACAGCTCAATTTCGAGTCTCAAAGCAAAGGGTCTGAATACTGATGTAAATAAGGTATTTCTGTTTTTTATTTTTAATACATTTGCAGAAATGTCAAAAAATGTTTTCGCTTTGTCATTATGGGGTATTGTGTGTAAATTCATGAGGATTTGTATTTATTTAATCCATTTTAGA